TAATGTAGTGAGTGGTTACCATGTAGCCTGTAGTCCTGTGAGTGTCGGACAATTGGTCTATATGTTAACCTGGCACCATTTATTGTTTATAATATGTAGGTGTATGTCTAACGGTGGGTATGAGATAAGTTTAAGTGTTTGTAAGCAAATTTAAAGTTGAGGCGGCATATGGATGTGAATGTCACCATGGTATCGATGGAGTACGGATTGACAATTCGATATTCCGAAGTGAACTTATTAGAATGGTCAAAGTTCTGGTATATAAATGGTTGGTATAAGCAGAGAGAGCCGCGTGTGCTGGCAATCTACCATGACCATAAGATGAGCTAATCCGGAATGAGATCCTGGAATGTAGGAGTTTAGTATGTGGTTAAGCAGCCCTTGATTGTTTGGAGGAATCCCTGAAATGGGATTGAGAAAAGACTTCAGCTGCTATGTCGTGACAGGCTGGTAAAATTGCTGTGCTGCTGCCAGCCAAGTACCCTTGCATACTACTGTGTTTGAGTAGTAATTGACAGACTTCCTCCAGAGACCCCAAGGCACGTGCGGTGGCTGCGATGGAGTATACTACAACAAGATCTGAAGGTTACTAAAAGAGTAGGCTTCATGTCTCTGCGGGCCATGTGTCATGGAACCAATTGTCTTTGAAAATGGCTGCAAACTCAGTCTAAAATAACAGGGGAGTCATTTGTCAGTGGGGGAATGAACATGCCTTACCCGTTACAGTGGGGTAGGACGTTAGCCACATGAATAAGTCTGCTCAAACATGTGTTGTCATGGTGCTACTATCAGTAGGAAACCTGGAGTAGGCAGAGCAGTCAGGAATAAGGGGTTACCTTGTGGTATAATGCACATGGCAAAGTACAGAGAACCAAGGAGAGACTGGAGATACAAACGGGAATAAGCACCTTTGCCAATTAATGACTCAGTCTTTCCTGATAAGCTGGATGCTGTCCACAGGGGGCAGGGTTGTATTGACAATAAGTATAGATGTACACCTAGTAATATTACAGGTATAGGCCTATGGTATATCTTGGGGCAGCGGAATACCCCGGATGAAATGGGGCCATGAGCTTGTGAATGATCTAGAGCAAAACAATAGGTTTCTCAACAGTCAGAAATGTGTCATGATAATGTATCCTTGTATGGCAGCCACAGGCAGTCAATAGTAGCCATGAGAGGGTCACCACAAATACATTGAATAATTTAGGGCTTCTATAGACCCCAGACATAAGCTGGGTGGCAAATAAAATGCCCATACCATTTAATACGGTGCAAATGCCACAGGGACGTCCACTGTGGCATGTTGCAGGGAACTACTTTTAGCATTTATTATACAAAACAACGTAGGGTGACTAACTAAATATTATATTATAAAATATGATATGTTCGAATACAGTAAGCAGAATGCATAAACCGAATTGAGGTATCACTGTAATTCTGTGATTGAAATAAGCCGTATTTGCATTAGTAGTGAAATGCGCCATATCGGAACGAGGAACGAATACGGACTGAAATGCTAATGCCTCCCTAGTTAGTGAAAGGCCAAATGTGGGCTGAGTACGTGTGGAATGTCAATGATAGCGTGGCCCAATGCAGACCAAAGCGAACAAACTAACGGTTTTGATGAAAAACACGTGAACAGCAACAGGAAAATCTACAGCTGGGCCGGGTGTAGCAGTGCCCCATGAGCTTCGAAAGAGACGGCTGTTTTTTTACTAGAGTGAGGTAAAATGAATACTTGCGTGGGCCGCACTAGGCCAGGACTAGCTTGTTTGTTTGCAGTTCAGGTAGTTTGTGTTGATGGCCTTTGGACCGGAAGTAGATGGTTTTGTACTGAACCAGGAAGTCTCAGCCCAGAGGGAGGCCTGTGAATTTATAGGCTGGGTAAACCACTCCCACAACTACAGGCTCTACCCTTCTATATATATATATTTAAATTTTACAAAATAAACATGCTAAAAAAAATGAATTTGCACAAATATTCCCAAAGCTCTAAAAGCTTACCTTGGTCTCTGCAGCTAATGAAGATCCACCCTCTGTTTGCCTGTTTTTTCCTAAAAAAGCACTGATGACCTGCGGCAAATCTAGAAGGGGCTGGGAGGAGCATGTGATCTGGCTGCCAGATGTAGAGGTGCGCCACTACCCCAACTAAAGCAGCAGGTGCAAGACTTGCTCCAAATCCGCCGCCGGAACCTTGTCTTCCTGGAAACAGCCACATGCTGAGGGGAATGTGCTCCAACACCACCCATGCTAGTAAAGGTAGGACTAGGAGTGTGTGCATGTAACTGTGTGCGACTGTGTGTATGTGCCTGTAACTGTGTGTGTGACTGTGTGTCCCTGTAACAGTGATGATGTTTTTGACTATGTGTCCGTGATTATGTATGTTGTCTGACTGTGTGTGCCTGTAATTATGTGTATGCCAGTGTACAGTTTACTGAGTGTGTTGTGTGCGACTCTATGTGTAATGTTTAGTACAAATGAATCAATATTTATTATTACATATATAACAGCATCTTCATATTGCTGCCTTGTTACACAAAGTTTCTGCAGCCGCCATTTAAAATCCCTAGACCATTCCACCAACTGCTAACAGGAACAGGAAGTGGTGAGCCAAAAGTAAGTAAGTACATCGTCCACAGCCATCCGAGAGATATCTCTTGTGTTAAGGCTTGTGCTGAAAAGAGTTTGGAGTTGATTAACTAGTTAGTGGCAGACGTGGTGCTATTAATGTGTCTTGCAGAATAGCTTCCAACGGAACCCCCCACAATTCTAGAATGTGTGTTTTATTTAATGTTCTGAGTTAGTGGAACGCTTAGACAAAACATAAATGATATTGACAAAGGTGAAAGTATTCTAAATAGTGTCAAAGTACTTATGTAGGCAGCCATCTGAGGAAAGTGTTTGTGTCATGTTTTATATATATATATATATATATATATATATATAACACACACAGACAGACAGAAGAAAAATTATAATAAAAATTTGGCTTTCTGTAAAAACTGAAAGCCCTACATTGCCCTACATCCTCTGTAGGGCAATGATTATTAACCATTTTTAACAATGACCCAAATGACGTGCAAGGCACTAGCTTGGTAACCCTTTTTTTATTTTAAAATAATCTCTGTTTTTCCAAATGTTACTTAATATAGAAGAATAAAAATTCAACATAGCATCCCTTAGACTTACTGCAGTGTTAGATACTGGGAGTCAAGTCCAGTAAGTGATTTATTATGGACAGTTACCTGTGGCTTGATGAAAACTATTTGCTGGTGGGGACCCATTAAACTAGAACATACACTCAATTTTGGGTGCTAACACAAAGGTTAAAAAGAATAGACATAGTGCCGTGTGACGTAAAGAGATAGATTTTCTTAGTGAATAAACATTAACATGTTATCAAAGTGATGAAATCCTATCACCACATTCCGCAGGAAATATTGCAACAAGAGATTTCATGTGTTACTAGAAAATTCCGGGATCCCACACAATTCTATAACTTACTAAAAGTAATAAATAACGTTAAACAAACAGATTTGAGGAACCACATGCAGCACTGACCAGAAAAGGTTTAATCATTATAGGAACGCTATAGTCACCTAAATTACTTTAGCTAAATAAAGCATTTTTAGTGTATAGATCATTCCCCTGCAATTTCACTGCTCAATTCACTGTCATTCAGGAGTTAAATCACTTTGTTTCTGTTTATGCAGCCGTAGCCACACCTCCCCTGGCTATGATTGACCGAGCCTGCATGAAAAAAAAACTGGTTTCACTTTCAAACAGATGTAATTTACCTTAAATAATTGTATCTCAATCTCTAAATTGAACTTTAATCACATACAGGAGGCTCTTGCAGGGTCTAGCAAGCTATTAACATAGCAGGGGATAAGAAAATCTTAATTAAACAGAACTTGCAATAAAGAAAGCCTAAATAGGGCTCTCTTTACAGGAAGTGTTTATGGAAGGCTGTGCAAGTCACATGCAGGGAGGTGTGACTAGGGTTCATAAACAAAGGGATTTAACTCCTAAATGGCAGAGGATTGAGCAGTGAGGCTGCAGGGGCATGTTCTATACACCAAAACTGCTTCATTAAGCTAAAGTTGTTCAGGTGACTATAGTGTCCCTTTAATAAGAACATTGTAACATTCTATCCCACCTTCTCTAGACTGTAAGCTCTTTCGAGCAGGGTCCTCATCAACCTAATGTTCTTGTAACATTTTGCAGTTGTTTCATTTATCGTTAAATTTCCCCCTTTTATAATATTGTAAAGCACTGCGGAATAAGTTGGCGCTATATAAATGACAAAAATAATTTTAATAATGACATGCTGTCATGTTCAAAATCCTGCATTTGCTGTAATTCTTCAGAGTTTACAGCTTCTACATTGAGCTCTGCCCAACAACCAGTACAAACAAAGTTTTATTGGATCAACAAAAACCAAAGGCGTAAATGAAGTGGTAGCATTAACACAGTGGTAGTGCGACAAGTGTTTTATTGGTTGATGCAAAAATCAACCACTGACAATGCTACAACATAGGCATGAGACCTATCTTAGCACAATGAGGAGACTGTAAAAAAGTTTTAAGAACCATACCAGCAAGTCACTGAAAACCATACGGTAGGTTAAGAAACACAGAGGAGATGAATCATCAAAGCACACATTTCTATATAATTTTAGCAGCTCATTGACCTTCTGCACCGACTTATAGATTTTCTTTGCTGTACTGTTTAGCAGATCCTTTTTTTATTATATATTAACAAGTACACTTGCCGTGACCTTTAAAGTCTTAGATCACTAGGCACCTTGTACCAATTATTCTTCAATTTTTTGCCAGTCGATGGTCACATAGATTTAGATTTCTTTTACGGTTGAATAATATTGCGGATGCTGTTAAATTAAATTTTTTTGTGTATTTTTGGCATCAAGGACAAAAACAGCCCATGGAAAGGAAGCCTTGGGTGGAAGGCTGAAGAAGAAAAGCTAATTACAGTATGAAATATTATGTTTAATAGGAATGTTTATAATGATACTCAAATCAGATTGTTTAAGAATTTTCTCAGCGAAACATTGATGCTCTCTACAAAAACTGGAAAACATACGTTATTCTGGCCCAAAGAATTGAAGCATTAACATGAATTGTAACAAAAATAATTTATTTAATGCAGTACCATTTTTATATAAAATATCACATGCAAAGCTATAATCAAGTCAGGATCTGTCTCAGATGAAAAGCTGGAATTTAAAAAAACAAAAAACAAAAACAAACTGATTTTCTGATGATTTCATGTAATAACTCATACTATAAGTCGTTGCTCTTAGTAGGTAGAATTCCTGCCAAGAGAGTGAAATTGTCTTATCTTATAAAAGTATCTTATGTGACACTGTTCAGAAATCCCATTATTTTTTTTAAATTAATTTACTAGTTTATATGTGAAAATTAATTGAAAAATAATAAAAAATGTAAACTTTGTTCACTGCTTTTCCTATAAATTCCCAGACTCAACAATTTCTGCCCAAACTAGGATGAAATTCAGCCCAGACCACCTCAGCTAATTAAAGTAGTCTGTGTGCTGTGACCCTTTTGCACTTAGTGCTGTTTACAGTGCAGCTCTAAGCCTGCCCTCTGTGACTGTCTAACAGACAGCCACTAGAGGGCTTCCGGAACCCAAACAGACTATTGGTCTGTTATCTGACGCTGGGCGTCCTAACGGACCTCCAGCATCAAATTTTCCCCATATAAAAACATTAGGTCTCCCCCGCCGTCTGACGTCAGCGAGGGAGGAGCGTGGGCGGTGCTTGACCCAGTGCTGAGAGGCATCGGCACTGGATTCAGGTAACTGGCTGAAGGGGTTTTATCCCCTTGAGCCCCGCAGGAGGGGGGCACTCCAGGAACCTATAGTGCCAGGAAAATGGGTTTGATTTCCTGGCACTATAGAATCCCTTTAACCTTCTTGCAGTGCTGGGACTGTACCCATTAGCTTCTCCACAACAGTGCTTTCTGTGAGATGTAGTTCAACTGTCAGCCTTCTGCTGTAAAAAGCTAGCAGTTAACTACCAAGCGATGAAGTAAAGCTGGCAGTTGAACCCAAACGATGAAGTTACATACAGCTGTATCATTAGGACAAACAGGGGAAACACTGTATGTTGGAAAGAAGCAGCGAAGGTATCCTTACAGAGCAGTTAAAAAAAACAAAAAAAAAAACTGAAGGAGGATAGGAAAATATAAACCCACTCAGTATAACTAGGTGTAACCTACACATTGCACACAATATGTGGGTGTCCACAGTACCCTTTAAACAAAATAATATTATTCCTTAAGTTAACAGTGACAGCAAAAACAATCTGCCATTTATTAATTATTTAAAAAAATAAAAACATATGTATATTAAATGCAGTGTGTGTGTGTGTGTGTGTGTATATGTGTATATATATATATTTATATATATATATCAATATACTCTTCTTTGCTTCAATCCTCACTTTATTTTCTTGGATACGCCTTTAATGGTCGATTCTGATGAAGAAAGAAAAAAACGAAATCATGAAATCAGGACACATAACATAATATACACAGAATGTTTTTTGGTTTTTTTTAACCCTCAGTTTAAACCAACAATTCCAATGCCGACCTCTACATGTCACTGGCGCTACATGTCTATGCAGATTCAATGCAAAAACAAAAGGAATAATATGCTTATTGTATAAAAGAAACATAAAAAAACAAACTTAGCAAGAGTTCAATGAAATTATTGGTACTTTATAATAAGGTCTTATTTTATACCCTAAAGTGTTAACACACACACACTGAAATATCTGAAAATATCTTAGTATCCTACATACACAGCTCACTGCACATATACTGCTGTATGGAGCACAGAGTTTTACAATACAATCATAGACTCCTTGATAAGACTGCAGCATAAACTATATAAGAAGTGTTGAACTGTTTACCAGCCACACGTTGTAGGACTGCAACTCCCATAACTCTCTGCCAGCCTATGTCTGGAAGTTTCAGTCCGATAACATCTGGCAGGGGAATTTCACAGCCCTGGACTACGCCCTGATTTTTGCCATTTCATTTAAGAAGTGTTGAACTGTTTACCAGCCACACATTGTAGGACTGCAACTCCCATAACTCACTGTCAGCCTATGTCTGGAAGTTTCAGTCCGATAACATCTGGCAGGGGAATTTCACAGCCCTGGACTATGCCCTGATTGTTGCCATTTCTGTGTGATGAATTACTGAGACTCTGTCCTCAAATCAGCTGCACCAGAGCCTATAATGGAAGTTGTTAAAATGACAGATTTCGGAAGCGTTCATACTGACCTGGCAGTGACTTATTTACAGCATTATTTCCATCTGCGAGGCGAATTCTGGCCAGAGCACCCACCTCTGCAATAAATTCCTCTTCTGCTCCCTTAGGAGGAAAAAAATAATAATTTACTATAACGGACATAAATAAACAGTAACCATATGCAACAGTGATTCCCAAACGTTTCAGGTTCAAGGCACCCTTAATATTTCCGTATTTTTCCAAGGCACCCCAGGTTAAAATTTCTAGGTTGTATATCTGTTCAGCGCTGCGGCATAGGATAATATAAAGTGTTGGCGTTTGAAGGGATGCTTGTATACATTTGTGTTTTGAAACAAAGGTGTGTTTGTATGTAATGTTTGTGTTTGATTGCAAGGGTGTATCTGAATGTAATGCTCACTTTTAAATGTGGATGTACATTTGTGTTTTAATACAGGTGTGTGTTTGTATGTAATATTTGTGTTAGATTGCTGGAGTGTGCTTGTATGTTGTGCTGGTGTTTGACTGATTGAATGTATGCACATACACACATATGTACACAGATATATTAATGCACATTAACACACAGATGCCCATACACACAAATTCATATAGACACCGACACACACACACAGTTTGGGAACCGCTGATATACAATGAAAATAAATAAATTAATAGGACATACATTGCATATACAGGTAATAATATGATGTGTTAAGCTGAATAACTGTATCCACTATGTACACCTGTAAGGGTTATTTGCGTCTTTTAGTAATGGATGTCTATTTCTGTACAATGAATCTGAAAAGTACAAAACTATTTTATTATATACATAGTATTATGGTATAAAATTAGAGTTAAAGTATTTTTCACTTCAACTTTTCAGCCTGGAGTGTCCATTTTAAGGACTGCCTTTTTTGAGAAATAAATCAAATACAGACAGTTTAAAAGTCTGATATCTTACTCCTAATGTGCAGCGTTCTCGTGTAAATTTTAAGTCACTTGCTGGAGACTGAGTTCGAGTTCGTTGCTCAGAGATTATTGATTACCTTCAGCCTGTTTTCAAGCTCCTCTTGCAGGCGATGCAGAACTGATTTCTTCTGTCTCAGGGAATCCAAGCGTGTCTGCTGGTATCTGTCAACCTTCTGAAGCAATTGTTTTTTCTGCAAGAATAATCTATAGATGATAAGAAAGACATTTGATTAGCAGATTACCAATTAAAATGTGGGCAAATGCATATAATGAGTATTATAGCTTTAACCAATTACTACCCAAAATATTACACTATTAGACGGGAAAAAAATCTTCATAAGGACACAAACATTATCAAATTGCAATGTTCCATGATGCTTCTAGACTACAACTCCTATTCATTTCTCCCACACAAAAACTGGAAGAGGATTATGGGAGCTGTAGTCCAACATCAACAACAGCTCAACACCCAGGTATAGAAAATATGGGAAGCAGAAATCATGGTTAGTGATAGGGTGTTGCAGCCGGATTACTATAGACACCAAAACAACTTTAGCCTAATGAAGTGGTTTTGGTATATAGATCATGGACCTGCAGTCTTACTGCTTAATTCTCTGCCATTTAGGAGTAAAATCACTTTGTTTATACAACCATAGCCATACATCTACATCTTTGATGGCATCCAGTGACTGCCAAATACAGCCTGTGCTGATATAGGGATAAAATCCTTTAAGTCCTTAAAAAGGTTAGAAGCAGGGCTTTGCAGAACACCTGGGTGACTACATTAAGAATCTGCAGCTTGCTTTATCAAAACTCGCTTACTGCAGATATAAAAAAACAGGGAATGGACAGAATAAGCACACTATTTTAGCCTGAGGAGCTTCAAGTCTCTGTGTGTCACCACAGCAAGAAAAGAGCAATTTTGAGGTTTATTAGAGGTTTACAATCTCTGAAGCATCCAAGAGGTCTGCATCAATAAGTGATCACTATGCAGGTGTTTTGTTTATTGTGTGAAAAGGAATGTCAGTTTGGACCGAAAGCGCGCAATGATCGCAAGAAGATCAGACGGTCTTGCAATTCAAATAAAAGCCATTGATAACAGCAAACTAGGCTATTTTGGTAAGAAAAAAAAATTTCTAGACATATTGTACTTACAAAAGAACTCAATGACCACCCGAAGCATGCCGTTACTCTGGAGTGAGTTGCATAATCATAAATTCCCCTTTTGGAGGTTCCTTCAGGGCCACTTTGGTAAACTGAGAATAAAGTGAATTTGAAAGGCCATGGTAGCCTAATAAAGCATAGTTGCAGGGCCGGCACTACCACAATGTCAGGCTGACTGGCAGGAGGGAAGCGCACTCCCCTCCAGCCAGTTACTTCTTGAAGCGTGGCCGAGCGCAAGTGCCTTGTACCCTCAGCGGAGCTCAGCCTCTTACCGCCCGCACAGCTTACTGTCGCCCGAGGAGCCTCCTACACTGGTGTCTGCCAGTGATGGGGCTGGGCTGCAAGACGGGACTCCACAGAGCCAGACAGCATGCACCCCATGGACCAGATTGAACAGATGTAAGTATGTAATTGTGACTGTCTGTGTATGTATGTATGTATGTATGTCTCTGTATGTATGTTTCTATACACATGTATGTCTCTGTATGTATGTACGTTTCTATATGCCTATATATCTCTGTATGTATGTCTCTGTATATATGTTTCTGTATGCCTGTATCTGTTCTTTCCTTGATTTTTGTTTTTAACACCCCAATGATTCTCCACCTACAATCTGCTTTATCTAACCCCAGATTCTCTCCTTTATAGCCTGGGCCCCATACAATATTGAATCAGCTACACCCAGGACTCCCAGCACACAACCCTGCAGGACTTGCCATAAGCAGAGGTAGCATTTACTGGATGATCGCTTCCCACCCACCCCATGGTTATCATTACATTTATAGATAGCTCGAATTACCTACCTTACCTGTTAAACCAATTATGTTAGCCTCTGTCCACCAAGCCCTCCACACCCAAAATAGCTATACTCACACAATACCTCTTTAACCCTTAACCCTCCTAACCACAGCTCTTAAAAATACAGCACCTACTCTCCTACTAATGTTCTCACTTCTATTTTTCACTTTCTCTCTCACTTCCCTCATCATTAAAATCTCTCTGTCATTTTACTTACCTGTTCCTGCTAACACCATCTTCATTGCTCCCTCTCTGCTCCCCTCATCTCTGTATTCATCACACGCACTTTATTCATATTTATCCAGCCTTTCTCCACAAACCCCTCCTAAATACTCTAAATACAAGCTCTCATCCTCAACATTTAAATCTTACTCCCACCTTCTCTTCCTTTCCATCCTACTACTCCTAGCAGCAGGTGATGTCTCTCCAAACCCTGGTCCCTCCACTACTCAGCCACCTGGTACAAACACCAGAAACCACAACAACCTAATACCCATTCCATGTAATTCTCACTATAATTCCTCTTTTAAAGCTGCCCTCTGGAATGCACGCTCTGTGTGCAGCACCTTTAAATCTACTTCCATCCATGACCTATTTATCTCACACTCCCTAAACCTACTTGCACTAACAGAAACATGGCTCTCTCCCTCTGATACTGCTACACCTGCCTCACTGTCCTTTGGTGGTCTTCACTTTACCCACAATCCAAGACAAACAGAGACTAAAGGTGGCGGTGTAGGTTTTCTTCTCTCACCCCACTGCTCCTTTAAAACCCTGTCCACCCCCCCTTCCCTCTCTTTCCCATCATTTGAAATTCATTCAATTTGCCTTTTCAAACCCTTCTCTGCTAACATTGCCGTAATCTATCGTCCCCCTGGTTCCCCTCTCCTCTTCCTTGACCACTTTGCTGCCTGGCTACCCTACTTCCTCTCTTCCAACATCCCATCCCTAATTCTTGGAGACTTCAATATTCCCATTAACCCACCTTTAACCCCAGCAGCCTCTAAACTTCTTTCAATCACTTCCTCCCTTGGACTTTTGCAGTGGGCTAATTCTCCCACTCATGTAGCTGGCAATACCCTCGACCTTATTTTCTCTTATTCATGTACAATATCTAATATCTGCAACACTCCATTTCCTCTCTCTGATCACCACCTCTTATCGTTTTCTCTCAATTACCCCCTCACCCAACAATCTCAGCCTAACCCCCCTCAGCTCAGGAGGAACCTTAACTCTATTGACCTCCAGCAGCTGTCAGCTGACATTGATTCACAACTGCTATCCATCCCTTCCCTCTCCTGTCCCTCACTGGCCGTCTCCACATACAACACTACCCTCACATCTGCCTTGAATGCTGCAGCCCCTCTCAAAACATGCACCTCGAGGAGGACACGTCCCCAACCTTGGCATAATAAATCAACACGCTATCTGCAGAGTTGCTCCCGTTGTGCTGAACGCTCCTGGAGGAAGTCCCGCACCCAGGCAGACTTTCTCCATTATAGATTCATGTTGCTTTCATACAGCACAGCCCTCGCCCTCGCCAAACAGTCATACTTTTCCTCTCTCATTAGTTCTTGCTCCCGCAATCCCAGACGTCTCTTTGACACCTTTAATTCCCTTCTCCGCCCTGCTGTGGCCACCCCCCAAACTAACCTTACAGCTGATAGCTTTGCATGCTACTTTACCGACAAGACTGAACAGCTAAGGAAACAAATCTCCCCTCCTTGCCGTTCTCTTTCTCAACCACATGTAAATCTTGCTTTCCCTACCCTCCAGACTTTCTACCCGGCTACTGAACAAGAGGTGGCTGCGCTTCTCCATTCCTCTCGCCCCACCACTTGCCCGCTCGATCCTGTCCCATCTCACCTCATCAGATCTCTCTCCCCTTGTCTTGTGCCTACCCTAACACACATCTTTAACTGCTCTCTCTCTTCTGGCACTGTTCCTGCTGACCTTAAACATGCCACTGTAATACCTATCCTGAAAAAAACATCTCTTGACCCATCCTCCCCTTCTAACTATCGTCCCATATCCCTGCTCCCTTTCTCATCAAAGCTTTTGGAAAGACTTGTCTTTACCCGTGTGTCTCGCTTCCTTAATTCCAACTCTCTCCTTGACCCTCTTCAGTCTGGCTTCCGCCCTCTCCACTCTACTGAGACTGCTCTTATCAAAGTGACTAATGACCTAATCTCCACTAAATCCAAAGGTCACTACTCCATATTAATTCTCCTTGACCTCTCTGCTGCCTTTGACACCGTTGATCATGCTCTCCTCCTTCAAACTCTTCAATCGCTCGGTCTCTGTGACTCTGTCCTCTCTTGGTTTTCCTCCTATCTCTCCCAATGCTCATTCAGTGTCTCCTTTTCCAAGGATACCTCCTCCCCTCGTCCTGTCTCGGTTGGAGTTCCCCAAGGGTCTGTCCTTGGTCCCCTCCTATTTTCTCTTTATACTGCCTCTCTAGGTAAACTTATTGCCTCTTTTGGATTCAGCTACCACCTGTATGCTGATGACACTCAGATATACCTCTCCTCCACGGACCTCTCCCCTGCCGTCCTGCAACGTGTCACTGCTTGCCTTTCTTCCATCTCTGACTGGATGTCCTCACGCTTTCTGAAACTTAACCTCTCTAAAACTGAACTCCTTGTCTTTCCTCCTCCTAATACTGATCCTCCTCTCTCGCTCTCCCTTCAACTCAGTGATATCCACATAAGTCCATCCCTGCAAGCGCGCTGTCTTGGCGTCATAATTGACTCTGGTCTCACCTTTGAGCCTCACATCCAGTTTGTTGCCAAGTCCTGTAGGTTCCAACTCAAAAACATAGCCCGCATTCGCCCCTTTCTTACGCAAGATGCTACCAAGGAGCTTGTCCATGCTCTAGTAATTTCCCGCATGGATTACTGTAACCCTCTCCTGATTGGTCTCCCCAAAAGCCGTATTGCCCCGCTACAGTCTGTCATGAATGCTGCAGCTAGACTGATCTTCCTCTCTAGTCGGTCCTCTCACACCTCACCCCTCTGCCAGTCCTTACATTGGCTCCCTGTATGCTATAGGAGTCAATTCAAAGTGCTAACCCACACATTTAAAGCACTGAACAATTCTAGCCCCACTTATATCTCTTCACTAATCCATAGATATGCCCCTCCTCGTACCCTCCGCTCTGCCCGTGACCACCTCCTGACCGCTGCTCGCACCCGTACGGCCAACTCGCGCTTGCAGGACCTCTCGCGGGTGGCTCCTCTCCTATGGAATAGCTTGCCTACTGCCATCAGACTCTCCCCTAGTCTTCAATCATTTAAGAAGGGCCTTAAAACCCATCTCTTCAGGAAAGCTTATGGCCTCCCAGAGTAATCTCTACCTTACATACCTGTCTCCTGCTCTCTCCTATGGGACAGTGCTTTGCTCTCTCCTCCAGCTCTGCTTCACCCCTACTTGATATTTCTTGTCCTAATGTTTCTAATACCCCACCTCCTATAGTCTGTAAGCTCGTTTGAGCAGGATCCTCTTCAACCTATTGTTCCTGTAAGTTTTCTTGTAATAGTCCTATTTATTGTTACATCCCCCCTCTCAAAATATTGTAAAGCGCTATGGAATCTGTTGGCGCTATATAAATGATAATAATAATAATAATAATGTATGTATGTGTCTGTATGACTGTGTGCCTCTGTATATACCTGCATGTTTCTGTATGCCTGTATGTAGCTGTATGCCTGTATGTATCTGTTTGCATGTATGTATGTCTCTGTGTGCATGTATGTATGTCTCTATACAAATGTATGGCTCTGTATGCCGGAATGTCTCTGTATGCCTGTATGTCTCTGTATTTATGTATGTATGTATGTATGTATGTATGTAAGTTTCTGTATGTATTTATGGGTCTGTATGCCTGTATTTCTCTGTATGTATGTACGTGTCTGTATATCTCTGTATGTATGGGTCTGTATGTATGTCTCTGTATGCATGTATGTGTCTGTATGCCTGTATGTCTCTGTATGTATATATGTATGTATGTGTCTGTATGCCTGTATGTCTCTGTATGCCTGTAAAGCTCTGTATGTATGTTTCTGTATGCATGCATGTGTCTGTATGACTGTATGCCTCTGTACACCTGCATGTCTCTGTATGCCTGTATGTCTCTGTGTGTATGCCTGTATGTCTCTGTATGCCTGTATGTCTCTGTGTGTATGTATGTATGTCTCTGTGTGTATGTATGTATGTATGTATGTATGTGTCTGTATGTGAGTATGTCTCTGCCTGTATGTCTCTCTGTGACTGTGTTTGTAACTAGTTATATTCAAAAATCAATCAGTCCTTGAGAACAGTTAAATAAAGAAAGATAATTTGGCTTGTGAAATAAATGTAAGAAGATGGACATAGTTTTGTGAGAGCAAAATTAAAAGTGATACAGAGGTAAATATCAAATCTCCATCCTGGTAGCTGCTATATAACATTCATGAAGGTAGGTAGGAGAGTCGTGAAGAGCTTGAAGTTAATTTCCAGAGCAAAGTTTTGAAGAACGCCAGGGGAGCCAATGTATTCTAGCCTTGTTTACAGATGGCTTATCTCTATGCTTCCCAGAACAAGAGATTATTAGCTCTCTCTCACATGATCTATGATCCCTTGAAGTATAGCATCAGGCTGAGACACAGGTGGTAAAATCCTATATACTTTAATAAGGAATAATAATCAAACCTCTTATGAAGATCTGAATTTGCTTGTCCCAAAATGTTCTCATTTTGTGTGGAAGCAGGTAGTACTTGCTTACTTTTACGCATTGTAATCTCTGTGTTTTCTGGAAAAAAATTTTTAAAAAAGCATGTTGCATTTATTTTGAATGTAAACGTGTCTGAGCTAAAAAGTCTTGTCAAGGAGCAAGAAAAGTTTATGTGAAATAAACTTACATTTGTTACAGAGACACTGTAAGCACTAAAACAACTGTAACTGAATGAAGCAGATTTGGTGTATAGATCATACCCTGCAGCCTCACTGCTCAATTCTCTAACATCTATGAGCTATATCACTCTGTTTATACATCCCTAGCCACACCTCCCTGCATGTGACCTACACACTCCATTTAAAAAGAGACCCTTTAGACTTCCTTTATTGCACAGTCTGTTTAATTTAGAATTTATTGTCTCCTGCTCTGTTGGTAGCCTGCTAAACCCTGCATGAGCCCCCTATGTGTGATTAAAGTTCAATTAACAGAGCAGGAGATACATACTTCTAATGTAAACACGCTGTACTGATTGAAAATTAAATGAAATTTTTTATGCAGTCTGGGTCACAGCCAGGGAAGTTGCTTTTAAATGCTATTTTCTTTTGTGCTCTGCATGGAGACACTGAATTTTCCTCATAGAGATGCATTGTTTCAATATATCACTTTGAGGAGCTCCTGATTGGTCAAAACGGCATCTGCCCTATGGGAAAGCATCGGATTGGCTAAAGATCGGCCATTTTGATGATGTCACAAAGGGGCGGAGCCAGCACAGGTGAGTTTTAAACTTTTATAGGGGATCTAAAGGGGAGGAGGGGGGGGCGCAAGCCACCTAAATGGTGGGTTTTCACTATAGGGTCAGGAATACATGTTTGTTTTCCTGACCCTATAGTGATCCTTGAAGAAAACTAAATATTTTGTAAATTATTACAAAATAAATTATATCTCTTTAATCTGCTGGATTAAAACACCCATTTTATTGCATATTTAATAAGCACACACTATAACTGAAACGGTAATGCTCTATAACAATGAACTTATATAGTCTATAAATTACCATGTGCCGTTTTCATTTGCTTTAACTTTGCCTCTTCATGATCCTGTAAGATCCGTTGTAGATTTTGATTGTAGTTTTGCACTAATTTACTGACCCCGCTGCTAGTCACATACACGCTTTCAACAGCTGCCTCAACCAAACGTTCCTGGAATTTATAAAGACAGAAAATGTAATATTAGAAATGAAGATTACATTTAACAGGGAACCCGAGAGGTTAAGCAGAAAAATTCACTTTAAATTCATCCTATGAAAACAGAACTGATTTCATTTCGTCCAAGTACAAAAACACCATCTGGACGGTGTTCAATTATTTATCGCGCCACCTACAGTGATTTGGGAGCCTAAAATAGAATATGGCAGGTCTTTGGCATCTGGAGCAAGCAGGAAGGTGTTTACATGAAAGTAGACGACTTCTATAACCAACTCTCCTGTTGTCGGGATAATCTTTTCACAAGGAGCTATTTTGTTTGAATTCATGGTGCGAGATAAATAAACTGTTCTATTTAAAGGAGTCACGTGTAATGCTATGGTCATTTCACGTTGGGTCATTTTTGCACGTTTTATTTGGTTTTATTTTAAGAGAACAGAAATGAAAGTTGGAAATAAGACCGGAAAAACGAAATAGATTTTTTCAAAAAAAGTCTAACCACAATTAAAGGGACAATATAGTCACCCAGACCACTTAATCTCAATGAAGTGGTCTGGGTGCAGTGGTCCTTGCCTTTTTATACCTGCAATGTTGATGTGATAGTTGTTACTATTGCCAGAAAAGGGTCAGTGGAAGACATTCACTACATTTAGCATAATTTTTCGAATGGATAAATAATGGAGTATCCTGCGTCATAAGACCTCAAGGTGCAGCATTGATCAGTCTCCGAATCAGTCAGTTTGATCACTCAGTTTCCCCTTGGAGTCCTTTCCTTAGTAACTTAGAGAGTGTGTTTATCCCAGGGCCCTTATTAACCTCCCTGAAAAGATAATGATCACATTTACCCCCAATCTGAATTTGCGTTTCCATCAAAATTTACATTTTATGAAGATGGCCAAAAAAAATTCATATTATGTGACACCCTGCAGCCCTGATTTAGCCATTAAAGGGACACTACAGCACTAGGAATACAAATCTGTATTACTAATGCAACAGTCTCTCTGTCCCTAGTTAGATTTAGGCCCCCTCCCCCTTTTTTGTTCTGTAAAATATTTGAAAAAAATGAGTTTATTTATCTTTTACTCCTCCAAGCATCATCACAGTTGCCTCAAGGTTAATGGTCCAATTCAATGTTGATGGTTCAATCCAATGCTCCTCTGTGAGGAGTATTGGGGACAATGGGTCCGCCAATCAAAATCTTGTCGCAGAGAATTCTCAAATTCAATGATTCGCTATGACAAGTCATGAACAGCACCGTGCATGCAAGATAACCCATCGGTTTAAGTTCAAGGATAATTTCAGCATCAAGAATCTAGAATTTAAAAATGAAATACATAATCTTTCTGTCTGTCTCTCTGTCTGTGTATGCATTCTGGTTAACAGAGGTTTCCAGCGCATAAAAGGTTGGTTAACTTTTCTCCATTATAGACAATAATATAAGAGAGGAATGAATACCTTAAACTCAGCGTTGCTGTCCGCCATGCTCTTAGCGGCCTCCTGCTGTGCGCACTGTATTAGAGCCTGCCCAATAGTTCGCTCCATGTGCTGTCTGATGATCAGGTTAACTTCCATCAGGTCGGCCAGCAGCTGCTGCTGGAAATCTATGCGTGCTTCCATCATTTCCTTCTCCAGCTTTCTCTCTTCTTCCAAAATGCGGGTTTCCTGTATGGGCATTCAGTACATGGTAGAAGATACTTATGCAAAGGGCCACATTGTTTTGATAAGTGACAATAATAGAGGGCTTATAGAGAAAGGCTGGCAAGGAGGCACAAAAGGCATGGACACTATAAAGCTCTGATTTGTAAACAATAAATAATAGAATTAGATACTAGTTGTACATTCATACTTAAAGGAAAACTATAGTACTTGGAAAACCATTTTTTGTATAGATCCTTGTAGTACCCCTGCCCTCTCACCCTTCCCCTGAAGGGGTTAAGGGGTCACTTACCTGACTCCAGCGTAGAGGACCCTTTACATTGGTTCAGGCTCCGCCTTTGCCTCCTCTTTCGCCAACATCACCTAATGCTCATCCGAAGCGATCGCCGCGCTTGCATTAGGATTTCCCCCATAGGAAAGAATTGTAATGCTGGATGTTCTCATGCAGAGCGACCAAAAAACAGCCACTACAGGTGGAGTTAATCCTCCAAGGCAATTATTGCAGTTTATCAAAAACTGCAATAATTACCTTTGCAGGGTTAAAAGTACTGGGACAATAGCCCCCCCGCATTGGTAGAACCAAAGCGTTCAGCCCACTAGACAGATATCTAGACAGTATGCCCAAACACGGCGTTACACTGAGCCTACATTAGCTATGACAAAAGCGCACAGCTTGCACGACCCGTACAACTGACGCGGGCAACCATAGGGATAAACTGCTAAAGCCATGACACGAACCTCAGCCCCCTAGACCACTATACACGCACTGAACTAACCCACTCTACTGTAATCACAAAAGTGGTGAACATAACACTTGACCTGAATTCAGTTAACTAGCAAGACACGCGGTTCACAGCTGATACAACGTACCAGTTACACACTGTTCAACTTATTATAAAGTTCACGTGAAAATGTTAATTTTAACGAACCCGTGTCAGCAATGTTGTATACTTATACGAAAACGAAAAATAAAGATTGTCAAAAAAAAAAAGTACTGGGACAATGCACCCAGACCACTTCAATGAGTTGAAGTGGTCTGGGTGCCTATAGTGTCCTTTTAAAGCACCATATCCACTTCAGTGATTAGAAGTGGTCATGGTGCCTGGAGTCTGCATGTACAATGTTTCACTTTGATACACTGCCTTTTTTCTGCTGGAGGTATAACACCATCTCTGGTAGCTACTATTTTAGCTAGGCGAGTGAGATATTGATGTATACAAGCTTGTTCTTTCTTTAGTCACGCTATATGCAATAAATATATTATGGAGCAACTAATGTATTGCTGGATGTCCAGGTATAAACATTGTAATTGTACTTATTGTAAATAGACATTGCATACAACACAATCTCTATAAGCTATAGTAAGGGATGTTGCTATGTTCAAAAAATATCTGGGTCTTAAATTCAAATAATAAAAAATAGAATCTCCCAAGTCTGCACTTGGCCCATCTACATACAAGGTCTTTATTCACCTCAAACTACAACCTCTGCCTACACCCACGCTGTGAACTTGGAGTTTTGAGCTCTACAATATATAACGCATATTAAAGAACACATCACAAGTAAAACCATGTGTAGACACACAGTTACACGTATGCACACTTCACACCAAAACACTGCATTCTACATGCAGATTAACACATGCAAATGCTTCACCAACCAACAACAAAAGTCAAACGTCTACTTTTGACACTCACTAACCATATGGCATTCATTTATTTTTCATTAAGTATCTTTCAATATCACACCACCCATGTCTGAACATTTACCCAGCTCTCAGGTATCAAGCCAATATGACCATCTATAGCTATTCCTAGCAAGACCAGAATTTATAGGTGAAAAAATAATAATTAAATTACACAAATAGGACAGTTGGCAGGTTATACCCAAGATCATTGATTTAAAGATATCTGGGACATTACCAGTCCATTACAGGGACTCAAGCCCCTACACCCCACCTCTAGCAATGCCACTTATTGTGGTTATTATGTTAAGAAGCTAGATGACTAAACAGGTTTACCTTTAAATGGCTTGCTTTGTTTTCTTTTCAGCTGATACCCAAACTCCACTGCCTGCCCTCAAACATCAGTTTATAAAACTTAGCTTCTTAGCTTCAGTGGTTAGTGTATTTGAACCTCTTGACCACACCATGTATGTCAGCCTCCTGAACATTCTGCAGGCTTGCACACACGGTTGAATAGGGAAGTTCTACATCGTCAATATATGTGTCATGAAGGACCTAAGACACGTAGCTTAAAAAACAACAACATTATTTGGTCAAATTCTCCAAAATATCTGATATATATGGCTTATAACCACTATATCTGATATAACTGAATTTCCATTGTAGTTATTATTATATCATGTTATATCCCTCATGACAGGTTAATGTTAATGGATACTTTACATATCTGAATATTCAGCAAGCCTTGCCAGAAAGAATGAAAAAAAAAAAAAAAGACATAAAATAACCTGGCTTACCATGTTATTTTGAATTTGCCATTGTTCTTCATCCTGGCATGGCCAGATGGACTTTTCTAGGATGTTTTTTTCCTTTAATTCATATAGGAGGCTTATCTTCCATGACATTCTCATCTGTGTCAGGGTAGCCATGGCGATATTCCGAAGGCTTAATGGTCGGAGCACACATTTTATTAAAAAATTGTGTCTCTGAAGTGCATTTTTGTTGGACCTGAAAAAGGTACATAGATAGTATGTCAACCAGATCACTTATTTTAAGTTCAATTTATTTTATTTATAAAATTATATAACAATAGTTCACAAACTGCTGAAAAACTGCATGGGAGCTACGGTGTTTCTTGTAGGTCATGTTTTTAAGTCATTCAGTATTTTTTTGAGCAATCCATGTCCGCACAGTACTATGCCAACATGAAATATGTTTTCATATATTTTATAATGGAATTTTTGCTACCTAAGAGGTTAAGATAATTAGACAGCCGTAATGCATAACAACCAACGCTTCACGGAATGCCATAGGCATGGTAAAAGGGAGCTAACCTGGTTCCACCCAAAAGGGGTGGGTCACATAGAAAAATGCTTAATTGCATGATTGTGAGATCAGCCTTTCATGAATTAATCTCAGGCTTCTTTTCAATCAAGCACACCAGCCCACCAAGGGCAGACTAGGCAAGGACACAATATCAGTGATCTCTGCAGAGTCCCAGTGCTCTGAGTATGATGCAGGCACGTCCATACTATGTTTTTTGAAGATAGTTCCCCGGTGTCCCCAAAAGTAGGAATAAGTTGGGAATAAGTTTTGTAAACGTCTATTTCAAGTAAACTCTTTATATTCAGTGTCTAATTCTCAGACAGTAATTTCAATTGTAAATAGAGGGCTTTAGCCATGTAAAAACAAACAAAAACAAAAATAAATTGTTAATAAAAAATATTGCCATGTTTTGTCCTCAGGTCCTTGTGCCCATGGCACCCATCTTGTAACAACACTGTAAAAAAGGTTGGCACATGATAAACAAAAGATACTAATATAGGTGCTTGTTCATTTTTCTCTTGGGTTTTTCAGTAAATATGAGGTTGCTACTTTCCATCTCTGAATGGTTCTGTGCACTTAAATAGTCTTGTTAAACATCTAACCAATGCTTTTTTGTTTAATGGCTTGAAGACAACCCAAAACAACCCCCCCAAAAAAAAAAATTCTTTGCAGACTCTGCTCAGTAACAAAGCATATCAAGCAATGTTTGTCTGTTTATTATCCGTATATCATATTGCCACGCCACTGATGGCCAATCTTGCATTACACTACATGTGCCATGGTGCTCAGCCAAACTAGAGGCATAGTTCTGAGTCTGGCTGTGCATAATGGAAAATTCAGTGCACAAAAATCTGCTGTGCCAAGGTTAAACATTGCTGCCGTACGACCTATAATGATTTATGCAGAAAGTGGTTCTAAATGTAGATTGTAGTTAATCAGAAGACGTAAGATTCCTCTAACGCATTCTTATGTATATTTTCTTTTGGCATATCTGTAACAGGCAGATAACTCAATTGCATATTTCTCCTTATCAAAAGATTCCTCAGAGGGCAATGTATCTTAATCACATTAATGAATTAGTCTGAAGCCAGACCTTGATAGGGATGTTTTTTCTTATCATGAACAAGATGGTTACTATGGTTGCTGCAAAGCCCTCTCTTTCTCCGAGAACGTCTGAATTACGTCTTACTTAACACTCATTAACAAGCGGATGCTACGAGGATTATAAACAAATTAAGGATAAAAGCTGTATACTACACATTGATCCAGGTATATGGATGTAAAATACAGGACACAGTACAACCAGTTAACTTGAGCCTGTTCTGAAATGAAATAATGCATTATATTTATAAAAGCCTCAGCTAGTGAAGTGGTTCAGAGGTCAAAAGCCCTTTCCAAGAAAGTAGGATAAATAATGTATGTGGTTCCTCGTAGACCTGGATGCAACATTTATTTGTGATATTAGCAGGCATTCCCTTGAGTATCAAGAGAAAGATATTGTAGAACAAGGGTGGGTTAAGACAGTCATTACAATGCATTTACCGGAGCGCATCTAAGAAATAGGACATGCGGTGGGATCCGTAAAGACATCAGGGGAAGTAGTGACAGAGTGAATAGCTACAAAAAGGCATATTACATTTCATCCTTGCTGTACCCTTTGCTATTTGGTATATCTTTTTGAAATAGTTTAAGACTTGACTTATTGAATTCTGATTTATAAACATTGTGTTTTGAAAAAGGTCATGCTTACTCATCGGTGAGACCACTTAATCGGCTTAAAACTCCTTCAATAATCTTCTGCTGCATCTCGGACACGTAACTGTGTAGAGTAGACGAGAAGACATGTTCCCTTGCCCAAAGCTATTACAGAAAAACAAGAAAAGGGACATTAGAAAAAAAAAACTGTTATACAAGATTTCAGGCTTTAAAACGTAACTATATGGTCAAACATTTAACAAGGATGTCAGAAACCTATTGGAAGCTCAACTTTGTCATGATTTGCCCAGACAATAAAAACACAACCTCCCACCCAATCCTAGACTCTGGCCAATTCTAGCCCATACAGAAATAACAGACAACAAAGATTTGTCCACAGTCTTTTTTTTTTTTTTTTAAAAGCTGCTATAAGTTGTTGCTAGACTTGTGCACAAATTATTTTCAAATTTTAATCTATGTCCAAACAAATTCATACATTTGGGCTTTAACTAAATGAATAAATAAGATTCCACAGGTAAATGCCCGCAGATCTGCTCAACAGAATTTGTGTACAAGTCTACTAGTAACTCCTTCGTGACGGAGACAATTGTCCAACTTCGAAAACCTAGAATGTATCATTAAGTGCACCCATACATATTATATAATGTTTATTTAAAGGACAGAAGTGACTTTCTTTTAATATTTTATATGTATATCAAACGCAACATTACGTTGGAATAAAACGTACAAAATGGGGAACCCCCACACATTGTTTTTACTGTTTTGATTTTTACACATCAAGTGCAACTAAAGAAAATAACTTAAAATAGATTCACATATCAGTCCTGATTGTTAAATGCCTCATATGTCTCAGATCTAAATTAATTTTTAGTAGCTAATACTAATTCTAGCCCTAACTGTATACTTACACTAACATTAACCATACACCTACCCTAACCTAACCTTACCCCTAACCTACACTATCCCTAACCCAGCATTAATCCATACCAAACACTAACCCTAACCATATACTTACATTATCCTCTACTGACATCAATTTGAAATTAGCAGAGAGATTTCCCAGCTAGCTCTGTAATGAGTGATTGCAGCATGAGAGGGAGATCTCCATCAAGTTTAGCCTCTCTCACATCTGTATTTGCTGTTGATCCAAAAGAATGCAAAAAAAAACCAAAGAAACAAACAAAAACAAAAAACAGTTTGAAGTGCTTTCCAATTTTACAACAAACTAGGAAAAAATTTTGTTTCAGTTAACCAGTCTCACAGAAGAACACTAACTGGAGGGAGGGAGGGAAGAAGAAGAACAATCAAAGAACACGGAGAGCTAGGGGAGCCCTCTTCTATGGAATCAGGTGCAGAGGACTCTTTTCTGTGGACTGGTCATTAGCCGGCGGCAGCCTGGAACTTTGCGCTGTATCAGAGAATGGCCACAGCCTGTTTTAACTTCATTTAATGATTACTGGGGCTGGGTACATCCGATACGGATGCTTTTTTCACATTCTGTCCGTGGTAATTAGCCCTGTCCTGGGATAAGTTGTCAATATACTGTTGGAGTAAGTTATGTTTTGGGGCACCAGGGAGAGAACCTATTGTCACTTTTGATGACCGCAGATTGTGAATGCCACTATAATTATGTGCCTGTCTCCCAATAAAGTGTTGTTGTTTACACCTTCACCAAGTCTCCACTGGTGTTTGGGGAAATTCTATAATCATTCTGCGATTTGGTTTCCAGCGATAGGGTATTTTTGGCGGGAGCAATCAGTCAGGGTACAGGAGCTCCATCAAAGCCACTAAATATGGCCCCAGCTGGCAAAGGGAAGCCCTTATTAATCAACTGATATCTGGGTTTCCCCAAGTCAGGGTGTGTTTACCTTGAGACAAACAAGGCATCTGCCTTGGAGGCACTTTCGGCTTGGCGGCTTTTTTTGCCATCCCCCAATAGCCCTGGCAAATGCCTTGCCAGCTTCTTGTCCTGGGGGGCCCAGGAGCTGGCCGGGTGGCCACCTCAGGGCCCCCCAGGCTTGCAGAGGCGGAACTTTCACGCGCACCGCAGTGATGCCGCACAAAACCAGGATACACCACTGCCCCAAGTGTGAGAAGTGATTAAACCCTGCTAACACCAAAATGCAAGGATATTCCGTGCTGTCCTAATGGTTCAAATCCCACTATTTTTAAGACGTCATTGAACCTACGAACATTCTTAAGGAGTTAACAAAAGCTGGGAATCTTGTAAAGGCAACAAATTAACACCAGGTTTCCAACATTTTTGCAAACTCTAGCCTATTTGCAAATAATTCCTGCTGTGACATACCAATACCATGCATATTAGTGGGTCTATCTAACCCTAACTTCAGCTAACACAAACCTGTATTAAACTTAATCCTAATAGATTACTGCTTTGTGGATGGGCCCCCAGGCCATCATGTCATCACTGTGACTGGTTCCCAGTGTGATCATTCAGCCTAAGGGCCAATCGAGCAGTAATAGTCCGTAAATAAGAAAACATCTTTCAGTGAATAGAAATGTGTTTTTTTAGATTAGAGAGAGACAAGGTTAATACAACATAAAGAGAAACTAAAAGTGTATTTTTTTATCTATATTTTTATAGCAAGTGATTATTCTTTCATATGATCTACTTGCCCTGCAGAAATGTTCTTCCTTTATTTTTGTCCCGACAATTCTGTGCTAGTGAGAATTACTGTAACTGGGATGGTTTAATCTTGGTAAACCAAAGAGGTTTTCACACCATTTCAAACTGTATAATGTGTTCCTGTCCAGTTACTTTGCACATCCATGAATTATTTATTACTAGAATAAAACACATCTTTATGCTGTACAAAGTGGCACAAGGCTAAAGAAAATCCCTTCACTGTGTGCCAAATAATGCATAGCACTTTGTAAAGCTTGCCTAAAAATATTAAAGAGGAATTGTAAAATTCTTGAAAGGAACCTCTAGTCTCCCAAAGCATTGCAGCTTACTGAAGTCCTATGTGGGTTAACCAAAGGTCCACTCTGTGTTATGTTATAAAAGAGCTGATTTTAAGAGAAATTGGCACTTTTATAAAAGTCCTTATTTGCACCTTACTAGCTGTCAATCAGAAATCCAGGGGGATTCTAGCCCAGCCCAGAGTCTTGGTAGGTTAATGCTGTGTGTTTGTAAAACGTTTTATCATTTTTTTTTTTGTAGGTAATGCCACTGAAGACAGAAATCGTTATTAATTAAAAACCAGGCTTTTTGTCGTTTTATAAACACATGATCAGTGAAATTGATATGGCTATATAGCAAAGTCAACAATAAACAAAATGGCTGTATTCGGAATCAGGAAGGAGATTCAGCGCTGATAGGAAAACAGGGAATATAACGATAAGGCAGCACACCTATAAAGAAGGGGAATCCCCTCTGAACCCCTTAGAGTACAATGGAGAGAAAAGAAGGAATACGGGTGCGCCTAAAACAAGTGGAATAATAATATTGAAAATAGTAAAGAGTATGAGCAGCGGTACCTAATAGTCCGAATATAAATAGTCTAAATATGCAGGTGATAATCCTAGTGGTTACGTAAAATGGCTCATCAAGGCTTCATCAAGTAGAAAAAAGTTTCTACTTGATGAAGCCTATTGTGGCGAAACACGTATAGAAACTTTTTTATATAATCTAAGTGTTAATAAAGGAATATTTGGCTATTATACATTTGTTTGCCACATTCCTCTTTCCACTATAGTATTATATTATTTTATTATTTACAAGTTTAGTTTATTTTATCCAGACCTAACTTCTATCGCCTTTTTTTCCATATTGGAGTACCAAGAATCCTAAGGTGGGGATTATACCACCCATACGCCATCCACCGAGCAGTATGTCTGCTCCATATACCGTGAGTATATTTTATTCTGTTTCAACATTTTATCAGCTATACAGTGAGCACTATATATTTTATCCTTTTGTCCCGAGCTGGACTACTCCACCAATTTATTCTACCAAAGAACAAAAGAGGAGCACCATATATCCTTGAGTGGGGATTATTCCACTTTGTGCCATTCATACCAGAGCTGGATTTAAGCTCTGAATATTGTGAGTAGTTCTACTATTATATACACAATATTATTTACCGTTCATACTATACCATTGGAGTTTCCTCTGTCTTCTGTTTTTTCCACATATCCATTTCGAAGTTGCGGATATACATCTGGAATTTGACATACCATTTTACGTACCACTAGGATTACCACCTGCATATTTGGACTATTTATATTCGGACTATTAGGTACCGCTGCTCGTACTCTTTACTATTTTCAATATTATCATTCCAAAATGGCTTTATTGATGGCACTGCAAGTAAACCAATAATTTAATGTTATTGGCATCCAATCCTCAATCTGCCATCATGTGCATTTAAAAACCCTACCTACACAAGGACATGTTTGATGCACACTTGCTGGTAACTGGGAAATAAGCTTTTTTTTTTGCTGTGGTATTTGAGAAGGGAAACATGACTCTATTAATGTGTCAATATACACTGAAACAACATTATAAATGCAACACTTTTGTTTTTGCCCCCATTTTTCATAAACTGAACTCCAAGATCTAAGACTTTTTCTATGTACACAAAATGCCTATTTCTCTCAAATATTGTTCACAAATCTGTCTAAATCTGTGTTAGTGAGCACTTCTCCTTTGCCGAGATAATCCATCCACCTCACAGGTGTGGCATATCAAGATGCTGATTAGACAGCATGATTATTGCACAGGTGTGCCTTAGGCTGGCAACAATAAAATGCCACTCTAAAATGTGCAGTTTTATCACACAGCACAATGCCACAGATGTCGAGAATTGAATGTTCATTTCTCTACCATAAGCCATCTACAAAGGCATTTCAGAGAATTTGGCAGTACATCCAACCGGCCTCACAACCGATAATCCAACAAAGGTGGATGGATTATCTCGGCAAAGGAGAAATGTTCACTAACACAGATTTAGACAGATTTGTGAACAATATTTGAGAGAAATAGGCCTTTTGTGCACATAGAAAAAGTCTTAGAGTTCAGCTCATGAAAAATGGAGGCAAAAACAAAAGTGTGACGTTTATAATTTTGTTCAGTGTATATCATCCGGTTTGACTGTGACCACTTAAGTTTGACTTTTTAGCATGACCTTTGGGCTCTTTTTTTTGCTGAACAATAAATTGCTATTAAAACACATTAGAAAGGTGTTATGATTGTGAAGACATTGCTAGTGACTCATTACAGTCATTAAAATTTAGATAATTATAAAATTATAGAAAGTGGTTCATATCTGTATGACAAGACATTTTAAAATGAATTTAAAAAAGGAAAAACATTTTCATGTTATATACTGTATGTATATAGTGTTGGGCTATAAGGTGACAATAAATTATATTTAAATACAAACATAAAAAATGAAAACTTAGATACCAATGCTGCAGTGACAATTTGGTATATTCACATATCAGGTCAGTGTTCATGTCTTTAATTATAACTAGCAATTTTTATTAACACATTAGAACAGGCAGATATTTATATTATAGATGAAAAAATAAAAACAAGATCCTAATTAGGCTGCATTTTGTTACCCGTGGAAAACCTCTTGTGGGTGCCTATAAACACATAATTGCCACCAAACATTACAAGGAAGCTTCTCGTCATAGGCTCCACAAACACTCTAAGAATACGAAGCTTATTGTCAATCTCCAATCATGTTTTCATCCAAAACATTGCACTGAGACCACCATAGCCAAGAATGGAATAACTAACTATATGCAAGATGAATGAAATGATTTGACATTAATACAGCTTACTAGGTTACTCTAAACGTTATAACCACCTCCTTTTTTTGCATCTTGGTACCTGGAGTCTGCATGTGCAGTGTTTCACAATGAAATGTTGCACATTCTGAGAGAAACCCCTCTGCTCCAGAAGATGAAACTCCACCTTCAACAGCTTCATCGGGGCATCATCAGCCAGCCTGGAACAAGAGCTCCAGGCTGACTAATGTCAATTGTGTGCAAGTTTCTATCATTGGCTGAGAGTGGTTTGCTGACGGACTCAGCCAATAAATGGCTGGCAGGATTGGCATTCAGCTCTGCAGAAACTCTGCAGCCAGCCATAGAGGAGACCTGGCTCCCAGCAGGACCAGGTTTACAGCTTGTGGTGGTTATAATGCTTGGAGTAACCCTTTAACATCTCAGCAGTCTTCAACCCTTAGATAGCATGATGGCCATATGACCAAACCGTTTGGATGGTCCCTTTAGTCACATTATTTCGCCAACATGACACTGACGCACTCATCATTATTGAGTGTTTTTTAAATGATTATAACCAAGTTCTTTTTACAACCTCCAAATGCCCAAAAGTTTCATCTTAGAATTTTGAATTTATCTCTGAATGTTTAGCTGCCAGTGCAAAATGACCTTGGTATCAAATATCCATGGGAAGTGAAAGGTTTTAAATCTCACAGTCAAAATGAGGGTGATTATTTAAGAGCCCACTTCCCCCCTTGCTTCTAAAAGTTTATTTGGATTGTCTCTATGTATGTTTGTCTGAAATTCACTGGAAGGCATCTGTTTTTGCTCAAGTACACCCAAAAGAAAAAGAGTCAATTTAGTATACACAGGATTTTTCGCTAAAGTATGATTTGTCAGGAATTCATAATGAACTCAATGTTAAACATTAGTTAAAAATTTTCGTTCACAACAGTTAAACTGCTGAAACCCTCTTTCAATTTGAATATTTGAAATTGACTTTGAATTCTCAACAATAAAATGAGTTTATACAGATTGTCTGGAATCCACATAAAATGATCATAAAACTTCAAACTTGTTAAAAAGTTATTTAGCAACATATTGACAGGTTTCTATGCTCTGTTGATTCAAGTCTGACATCCAAGCAATGGTTCCATATTACCAGCTGTTCATATTAATTAAGAACAGGAAGGTGCAAAGATAGGTTGCTTTTTTCTGCTTAGTAACATCTGACATTTTCGGTGACGTCTAACACCACCCGAGATATTAATTAATTTCATCCGCTACTTAGCAGAAAACAAATCTCCCCAGAGTGATATACATGATTGGACAAACAAGCTAAGGAAATGTCAGTCTTTGTGTCAATTCCAGGCTGAATTCTCAGCACTGCCTCAATCCCAATCATTAAGAATATTTCAACTTCATGCACAGAAAGCATTGCCTGTTACTCAGGGAAATGCTTAAATAAACCAAAAGGAATACAGCTAGGAATGCATCATAATTAACCGGTTCCGCACTGGCAACAAGTGACTCGCGCGACTGGTGACGCCCATAATGGGCAGTCCCAGCCACTGAAGAGGCCTGTCTGGCTGCCTCCAGCCAAAGGGACTTTGTAGAAAGTGCTGGTAATGTGCACCACGCAGGGTCACGGCGCCCGCGCACAGCACAAGAGCATCTAATTATGTGCTTGTATTGTGCTGTCCAAGGACAGTTCTGTGGTGACACCTGGTACTATATCATGAATGTTGGAGCGTCTAAAATAATGTTGCAATTTTTACTCTGTTTGGTAATTTTTTTTACCTTTGCACCTATAGGGTATGTATAAGACGTGTAAGTGAGCTTTAGATATGAGAGGTTTTTATGCTTTGTTTTCTTACTTAAAACACGTTCTAGATAATGCCTCTACACTCTGTCAGTAATAAGAATTCTGAATTATTTTAAGATATAGACTGAAGGGGCACTATAGTTACCAGAACAACTACAGCTTATTGTATTTTCACTAAACACAGTTATTTCAGACAAAATGCTATTTTTACATTACAACCTAGGGATACCTCCACTTGCCACTCCTCAGATGGCTGCTAGAGGTGCTTTCTGGGGCAGTGCTGCACAGTGTGTGCCATCCAGTGTCTCCATCCTATGAATGGAGACACTAAACTTTCCTCAAAGAGATGCATTGATTTAGTCTTTCTCTATGATTATATGTGGATTGGCCAGGACTGTGTTTAGTAGACATGTTCAATCGTTTTAGGATGAATACGATTTTGTCCCAATTGTTTGACTTTTTCATATTCATTTCCTATAACATAAACAAAAGTCCTACATACAAAATATATACAAAACAAAAGGGCAAATGCTGACTACATTACCTTTTTGTTTCAGTTCGTTTAGTTTATTACAAGGAGGGAGCTACCGACTCGCGGCTCCCTCCTTGTAAGATGTGAAAATAAAAGCAGCAGGGAGCAGTGCTGCCCGCCACTTCCTAACTCACCCCATGTCATTTTATGAGGGTCAATATGACCCCCATATTAGCATAAGTGAGATTAAAATCTTGCATGTCTACTAGTGAGCAAAAAAAGCCCCCCCCACTCCCCACCAATGAGCAGCTGGAGGGACCCTAATTAAAGGGGGGAACCTAATGACCCCCTGGTCCCACCCATGAGCGGCGGGTGGGCACCCTAATTAAATAAATAATGGGGGGAACTTAATGTCCCCCCCAGACTCCCACCGATGAGCGGTGGGTGGGGACCCTAATTAATTAAATGAATAAAGTGGGGACCTAATGTCCCCCCAGGTCCCCACCCATAGGCGGCAGGTGGGGACCACAAATAATCAAGTGACTAGGGGTCCCAAAGCCCCTAGTCACTCCTCCCCAATAAAAATACCCTACCTACCCTCCTCACCCAGTTTGGCTAAGCATCACTTAAATTACAGCATGACTGCTAAAGGTATTTTGTGCTAGGACTAGTAGTACAAGCTGTCACACCTATAAATAGATTAAAATGATTAATACTTTTGTTGCAATGTTGCACCCCATTATTCCACCATGTTTCAGAATGCTCTAAAAAGTCACCTCTGCAATATACTCCTAAAAGGTATTCGGTAAGAAATTGGGCATAGAAGAACGATGTTGAAATCTCAAGTGCCCAAAAGTACAAAAAAATAAATATACAATAACCAAACAAGTAAGGGGAGGCAATAAACGAACACCCTGTAAAATAAAATGTCATACTTACCATTGGATGTCTTCTCTCTTCAACCCCAAAAAAGGCCAAATAAAAATCCATAATTGTCCCATCGCAACTGTTAAAATAAAAAAAGAATCTAAGAGCAAAAAAAAAGTAAAAAAAAAACCCAGAAAAAAAATAACCCATGCTCACCCAGGGTGCGCTCCGTGCAGAATGAGCTTTGCAGGGTGGGGGAAGCCTTATATAGGCTACCCACACCCTGAAATTTGACTCAGAGCACTCTGATTGGTCAGTCTCTTCATTTACCTGTCAGAGCACTCTGATTGGTTGGCTTGGAATCAATTAATCAGAGTGCTCTGAGTCAAATTGCAAATTTGTTTTAAGTTCGATCGGAATTATGTTTTTTTTTATTTGGTTTTTTTAGGGGCTGAAAAAAGAAGATTTAAGAAAAAAGATGACATCTACTGGTAAGTATCCATTTCTTTTATTTACAGGTATTTCGTTTTTTTGTTCCCCCTCACTATTTTTAGGGTGAGGGGGTAGGTAGGGTTTAATTTTATTGGGAAGGGGGGTGACTAGGGATTTGGGCACCCTTAGTCACATGTGGGAGGGTGTATTTTTTATATTTAGCCCCCACCTCACGTCCATGGGTGGGGGGACAATAGGTCCCCCCTTATTGTCATTTAGGGCCCCAACCTACCTCTCATGGGTGGGAGCCGGGGGGTGGGAAACAGGTTTAGCCACTCATTGTCATGGCAAAAACAATACCAATGAAAAAGTAACACAGACTGATCTAAATAGCTACTTTTTCATATTGCAACATTGTTATTGTTTTTGCTTTAACTATTGGTTACACATACTCTTATCGTAGCTCTCTATCACCTCTATATTAGATACTGATTTATATCCAGTTATATCCAGTTTAAAATGACAGCAAGCAGCCACTGGCTGCCCCTACTCATAGTGACCTCCTTAGGTTTTAATGCAGTGGGGAGGGGGGTGTAAGAATTGTTAACATTATAACAAGGAGGGAGCTGGTAGCGCTGCTGGCTCTCACCTCTTTTTTTTTTGCGTACGCACAGTGATATTTTTGTCGTAATGGACAATAATGAATTATGTTTTACAGAATTTTGTCCGAAAAACAAATGTTTTACGGACAGAATATGGCCTGGGCGATTGAAATTTTCATTTAATACGTACTCGTTCGTAAAAAACAAAAATTTCACTGGTGCCCATAGTGTTTGGCTTGTGCTGACTCTGGACCTGCTCTGCCTCCTTGACAGTCTCTTATGTGAAAGCATTGTGATTGGCTCAGAGAATCACTTCTGGTGATGTCAGCCAATCTGGCAGAACAGGGACAGAGCCAGCAGCAGCAGTCTTTCAAGTAAAGGTAATCTTTTATTATATTTAGGGTGGCAAGGAGGGGACGCAGGGGTGCTAGATGCTGTTTGTAACACTATATGGTCAGGAATACAGGTTTGTGTTCCTGACCCTATAGTGTTCCTTTATATTTACAATGAATCAACAAAATATCAGAATAAATCTGAATATTGATGGCTATTTAGTGAACTAAAGTCAAAAAGCCAAACCTTTCGATGTTGCAACATTTTTATAAAGTCCTGTTCATTATTTAGGCCTAGAATTTGCGATTATCTTAACCTCAGGTTAGTCACTACATCGACTGGCATGCAAAGCTTAGCCATTCCTACGAGAGAATTTAACGCCGTAATAAATACGTTACAAAGCATTGCACAGTGGTACATTCAATCTACCTGTTTCTCTTGCATCAGTATTTCCTGAAAGAGCTTGATCCTGGTTTTCCGTTCATTTTCAGCTTTTTCCAGCTCGCCAGACAGATTATTTTTTAATTCCTGTTTGAGACTTTCACACTCTCGCAAATTCATGTTGGTCATTTCAGGGAGTGTCTGAAGAAACAATGCTTTAACTAATTTTTCAAATTTCTGTGAAGCCCCTGTATATAAATCCTGGAAAGACAAAAAAATTAAAATAAATAAACATTACAAATCCATGGATTTGATTGTAGGCTACCTTTCATAGCCTGGTTGCTACAGATTTGCATAATGACAAGCCAACAAAAAGACCATTAGCCACCAGTTTGGCTAAGCATCACTTAAATTACAGCATGACTGCTAAAGGTATTTTGTGCTAGGACTAGTAGTACAAGCTGTCACACCTAGAAATAGATTAAAAAAGATAAATTTTCAATCAGATGTTAACATGTTTTAGAAGAATTTATCTCCTGCTCTGTTGATTGAACTTTAATCACATGCAGAAGGCTTCTGCAGGCTCTTGAAGGCTATTAACAGAGCAGGAGAAATTCTAGATTAAATAGACTGTGCAATAAAATAACAAAATATTTAGATTTCTTTTGAGTAAGTGTTTAGGGAGGCTGTGCAAGTCACATGCAGGGAGGTATGACTATGGTGCATAAACAAAGTGATTTAACTCCTAAATTGTAGATAATTGAGCAGTGAGCTTTCAAGGGCACGATCTGTACACCAAAACTGCTTCTTTAAACTAACGTTGTGTTGATGCTTATAGTATCCCTTTAATATTTATTTTGGAGGATTTTGCAAAACTTCATTTTATTAAGGGTTTAAAAATAACAAAGGATTCTAAAATCTACACTGATGGGTGTAGGGACTATATTTTACTACTTTCCTTGCTCCGTTCGGTTGTGTTGCAAAATATGAGGGAAATGGTCAATTTCCTGGTCCTGTCACCTCTCCCAGTGTAATGTCTGTGGCTAGGGAATGTTGCACCCGCATTATTCCACCATGTTTCAGAATGCTCTAAAAATTCATATACTCCTAAAAGGTATTCGGTAAGAAATTGGGCATAGAAGAACAGTGTTGAAATCTCAAGCGCCCAAAAGTAAAAAAAAATAAAAATACAATAACCAAACAATGTTAATACTTAAAAGTGAACCAAACAATTACCTTGCATAAGTCAACCACAGAGTCAACGGTTTTACTGTCTTCTTCATCTTCCAGGTCACAGAGAAGCTCACGCTGTTTTTCCAAGAGCTTATGGTACTCCTAATCAGGGGAGACAGACAGGTTAAATCGGTTTATTTTACAGGATAATACAGAAACCTGTCAGCAAAGCTAAAGCTAAATACCTTAATAAAGCTGTCTGGTTCACGCGATTCTTGAGCTTTGGTGAGGAAAGTTTGTCGTTCTTCTTTTTGGGATTTTTGAAGGATGTCCAGGAGCTTGCGTCTGAGTTCCAACTGTTTGGTAACGAGGGACTTGGTTTGCATTAGGCTGTCTGAAAAATACATTGTATAACTTATATACAAGTCCTGTTTGTATGTCCAAAGAATAACAACATGTACACATTGAATGGTATTAAATATTGCAAGCTGGAAGATAGCAGTACAACTACAAAAACGTCATCCAGAGATCAAAGCTCTGCACTCTGTTATAAAACTCTGGTGAAATATGTAAATTGTATGTGCACCCAAACTCGATACCGGACTGTCAATTTGTCTGGCACCATCTTCTCCCCCCAACTTCCAACAGAGGGAATTGTGTCATGGGTGAGAATGTCTTATAATGCACTAAGATCTTGGGTCATCTGAGGTCCACAGGATCTTCTTTCACATACAAGATACATCCACATAGTTACTTATAACCTATGATTAAAGGATAACTTAAATGAGAGGTGAGCCCACCAGCACCACAAAATGACAATATTTAAGGAAGATAAATAACTTTGAAAGAGATTAAAACTAATTGCAAGAAAGTCATAGTCACACAACTATAATAAGAGGAAAAAACCCTAGTTATACCAGTGCACTTTGTTTTTCTTTCTTCACAAACATCACCATGGTCTCAGGGGAAATTAAAACTTAATACAACAATTGAAATTGCTGGATACTTTATAAATGCACTTTCCATAGGATTCTTTTTATGAGAGCTAGAGGTTGGTGTTTATCGACCCAGTCAACCTATTCAGACTACATTCTAACAGTCGGTGTATGTCAAAAGTATTCTTAGGAAGCCGCATCCCTAGATGATTGTGTCGACTTATCCCCAGATTTGAGACTTCCAAGAATACTCCTGATACATCTTCACTTGGAATCAAAGTTAGGGTCTATTGGAATGAATCTCCCTCTCCCTCTCCCTGAAGTGCTCTACAAGGCTACAGAAATCTATGGCTATATGCTTCAGTTTGAACTTAAACCAGGATACATTAAATGACACACAGTAAAAACTCAGCGTGAGATTTCTATCGAAAACAGCATGCAGCCTGGCTAAAATTTAGATGCAGAAGTGACAGTCGAAGAGAAACCAAACAGATTTAACAAAGCTGATCCAGACGATGAAACAGCAGGTGACCGTTTCCACCACAGACCAGATACTATAGATTACAAAAATTGTAGTAGTAAAGCTATATATATATTATACTTTTTTTGCTTCACATGTAGAAATATGTATGTCTATAACATTTAACACAAAAAAATTGAAGAAATAAAAATGTTTTATTTAAAAAAATATATATATATATATTTTTCCATCATATTTAGTGTGTCAAAGCGGCTGACAATAAATGCCAAAGGCAGGAAGAACACAAGCATCCGAGCTCCCCCGAATAATAGGCGATGCTGTGAACAATACATTGAAACTGTGATGCAGAGAAAGGCTCAGCAGTGCATTGAGCTGTGCATCTGCCTGCCACAGACAGCAGTGAGCTGTCACATTTTAAGTCACCAAGTTAAGTGCCTTCATCCGGAAAGAAAAAAAAGCTAAATTAATGATCTCCTAAGTCACTTCACAAATCCCCACTTTTACAGAATTCTACAATTGTATTTCCCCCCAAAAAATTACTTAATGTTGTGATTAACTAATCGAAAATAGAAAGTAAATAAATATTTGATAGTCAAGATGGCTGATCTTGACATTAAAAGTCATACTTATATTATTAAAGGGATACTATAGGCATCAAAACAACTTTAGTTTAACTAAGCAGTTTTGGTGTATAGATCATGCCCCTGTAGTCTTACTGCTCACTTCTCTGCCGTTTAGGAGTTAAATCACTTTTGCTTTCGTTAATGCAGCCCTCGCCAGCCCTCCCCTGGCTCTGACTCACTCAGCCTGCATGAAAACAATTGTTTTATTTTCAATCAGATGTTAACATGTTTTAGAAGATTTTATCTTCTGCTCTGTTGATTGAACTTTAATCACATGAAGAAGGCTTCTGCAGGCTCTTGAAGGCTATTAACAGAGCAGGAGAAATTCTAGATTAAATAGACTGTGCAATAAAATAACAAAATATTTAGATTTCTTTTGAGTAAGTGTTTAGGGAGGCTGTGCAAGTCACATGCAGGGAGGTATGACTATGGTGCATAAACAAAGTGATTTAACTCCTAAATTGTAGATAACTGAGCAGTGAGCTTGCAAGGGCACGATCTGTACACCAAAACTGCTTCTTTAAACTAACGTTGTGTGATGCTTATAGTATCCCTTTAATATTTATTTTGGAGGATTTTGCAAAACTTCATTTTATTAAGGGTTTAAAAATAGAAAAGGATTCTAAAATCTACACTGATGGGTGTAGGGACTTGTAACACGTAGGTAGGTGAAAGTACACGTCACTTTTGGGCACCTGAATGAACTAGACGAATTCAGCAACCTATGACACACGAGGTACCATAGGATGGAACTCAAGGCTGACAGTGCCAAACAGGCTCTGACCTATTAGGAGTCCCAGTGGGACGTTAGATCATATGCAATACCACAAACTACTCATGAACATATATAATAACCCACATACACACAAATACAATGCTACAAAGCAACTGCAGCACCCATAATACAATAATAATAACACAAGCACGACACGGCAACATACACACCTCAATTTAAAAAAAATAGGACCGGCACGTCAAGATCTTGTTTAAGCACAGCCCTACTGAAAGGTTGCCTACCCTGGACTAGACGATTGAGCTACTGTGTGCCAACAGCAAGGTAAATTTCTAAGCTAATGTGCACTGGCTTGACCTAACAAGATTTGTGTACATGTAATCTATACATTGTGCACAAACCATGTACCGAACATATGTTGTTGTTTTTTCTACCACACAGTTTTTCTGGCATTTAATGAAATCCACCAATACTTTCGGTTCTGATCACTGTCCAACTTTCGGTGGTTGAAGGGTTAACAGGTTGGCCTCTTGTTTAATGAGATGTATTGATTGTATGCTGCTTGTCTGGCTCACTTATTTAAATGGGTTTTGATGTAATTCCTTTAGCTGGGTTAGAGAAGGCTTATCGCTTGTAGAGTTCGTAATCCTCTGCCCAAGGGGTTGGGTTGCAGTAGCTTACATCACTGGGCATTCTTTCAAGTGGAAATTGTATCCAGTTCATCTAGTGGGGGGATTTACAGTGACTAAGCTCATTAGGGGATATTCCTGGAGGTCCTTGTAATTGGACCCACTTGGGCAAAAGCTCTTCTTGCTTCTTTGCACCAGTTATGGTTAAACGAATATTGTTTATTTGGCTGAATCGGCCTTCAGTGTGTCTGTGATGCTTTTTACTAGCAATGTACTCATCCAATTTAAATGCTTTAATTAGCTGTGACAAGGGCCTAGAACAAGAGGTCTACGCTGGCATTAGTCAAAATGCGGTCTCCTTCATGCTAAGTCAGCTATGCATGTTTAAATTAGCAACATTTAGATGCCCATGGAATATTGTAAACAAATCAGGCATTTCGCATCTGCAGTTGTAACGGAGGTGCATATTAAATTTGCCAGTTTAAAGTTTGGAAATAAAATACTGTCTCCTATTTTCTATAGAGCTGGGGAGAGAAATCAAAATACTGTATCATTTAATCACCTTGACTTAATAAGTAAATATTTTGCTTGTGTGAAGCCAACCATATTTCAAGATTAATTTTTTTTAGCATCATTTAAAGTGAAGTGTAAAATTAGACACTGTCACGATTTGGCTAGAAATATTAAGGCCATTGGGTGATGGGGAGAGCCCGTACAGCATGTCACAAAAACAGGAGAGGATACTCACAATCACAAACTCTAGGTAGCAAAATCACAAGAGTGAGCTGTACCGATTACGTTTAGGAGACTGCCTAGTCTGAAAAACTGTTCTAAAAATATGAGAGAAGATTGCAAAAACGAATAACATTTTCAAGAACATAATCAAAAAGAAAAGTTGCAAATCCCACAGTGCAAACCACTAAAACAAAATGTAATAAAAAATTTAAAATAAAATCTGCACAGATGTGTTTGGGAACCTCACACCCTAATCAGATATTAAACCAGGTGACACAGACAGCACTGAGCTATCATATTTTAACTCACTGGAAAGATGAAGAATAATTTGGACAAGATCAAGTAAATAATAAAAGTTAGGTACAACAATTCCTACCATGCTGACTGTATCAGGGAGGCGCGTGTGAGATCTCCTTTTCGACATTAGAAAAATACTATCAATTAACAAGATCCTGCAAGGGATACACAGAACAAAGAGGCCTCAGCCAGTGTCTTTGACCCTAGTACTTCTCAACACAAAAAGTATCAGATGTTCAAATCTTGACATTACCAGTGACAGTCACAATTACAATACGACAAAATAGAGTAAACACAAAAACGAGAAGTTATGGGAAAATGCATAACCAAAGCATAACACATAAGGAACATTTAATAGAGCTAATAAATGGAAGTTTTATTTGAGTAGTTGCTGTGATCATTGAATGGGGAACAGCCTTCAAAATGTACCTTGTGTTAGGTTACTTTGCATTTTTTTTCCTTTAGTTTTTAACTTTCCCTCAAAGCCATAGTTGTAATATTCTAGTATTCAAATAAAGGATGGTTTTAATGGAAACACCATGAGTGCTTTCTATAGTTGGTTATGTGGTGGCTCCGAAAACCAATAATCAATGATTTGTTACAATGTATTCAAAGTGTGACTTTACATAAAGGGAATCAACACAGTAATGGAGGAGACTATTTAAAAGAAAAAAAAACTACCACAACAAGAGGACATAGTCTTAAATTAGAGGGACAATGGTTTAAAAATAATATCAGGAAGTATTACTTTACTGAGAGGGTAGTGGATGCATGGAATAGCCTTCCAGCAAAAGTGGTAGATGTTAACACATTAAAGGAGTTTAACCATGCGTGGGATAGGGATAAGGCTATCCTAACTATAAGATAAGGCTAGGGACTAATGAAAGTATTTAGAAAATTGGGCAGACTAGATGGGCCAAATGGTTCTTATCTGCCGTCACATTCTATGTTTCTATGTGGCCATGCATTGCTATGTTATGATCCAATAGATTAGCCAAGCTTACCCACAAAGAAATAACACCAAACAGTGTGTGCACACAACACAAACAACATGCATTAGATTGTGGCATGAAAACTCAAACAATCAAAGAGGGGTGTAACAGCATAAGATTCTATTAGGAATATTAAAGTGTTAATGGTAATATTTAGTAAATGCTTTATATATATATATATATATTTATTCGATATTATAGTGTATATACGAATGCACGCAGGCACACACAGGAAGACAGTGACCCCAGTTAATTCCACTTAAGCAATGGTTGTGTCCTCATGGTGAGCCTTCACAGCGCTCCTGTATATGTGAAAATGATAGAAGTTGAAGGTCACGCGACGTAGTAGCAATTTCGTTTTCGCATTGCTCTTAGACACGTCAGGAGCCACTGATGTTTCTATTTATAGTAATATTTTGACAAATTAAAGTACTTTCACAGCAAAAGATTACTGTGGACAAAGGAAATCTCAGATCTAAAAATAGGTACGTGGTAATGTTCACTTTCGTTCTCTTCACGGTCAAGAATATAGCAAGATTCTTCTTATTATTACTGGCATTTATAACAACAACATAGCGGTAATTTGCAGCATTGTACAACTGGGGAAGAAGAGTACAATATACACTGACCAACGCGAAAGGTTAAGATATCTGAACAGGAAGTACAGTTTATTGTTTGTGATTATTTTTACATCAATTTGGCTATCTTAGGCCAAAAACAATTGCAGTATCAGTGTCAGCTCTTTACAATTCCCACTTTAGCAAAAAAATAAAAAAATAAAAAAAAACAACGCAGCTTGTACATGCAGCTTGTACATAAAATTGTTAAAGAATGTATTAATTTATATCTATCTATTTATCTATATATAGTGTAGCGTATTAGAGTAATGTAAGGGGGAGTGTAGTGTGTCAATGTAGTGTATGAGCTAATATATAGTATATTGTTTAGGATAATGTAGGGTACAATGTGTAGTGTATGGGTTAATGTATAGTATACTGTTTAGGGTAATGTAGGGTACAATGTGTAGTGTATGGGTTAATGTATAGTATAGTGTTTAGGGTAATGTAGGGTACAATGTGTAGTGTATGGGTTAATGTATAGTATATTGTTTAGGGTAATGTAGGGTACAATGTGTAGTGTATGGGTTAATGTATAGTATAGTGTTTATGGGTAATGTAGGGTACAATGTGTAGTGTATGGGTTAATGTATAGTATAGTGTTTAGGGTAATGTAGGGTACAATGTGTAATGTATGGGTTAATGTATAGTATATTGTTTAGGATAATGTAGGGTACAATGTAGTGTATGGGTTAATGTATAGTATAGTGTATAGGGTAATGTAGGGCACAATGTGTAGTGTATGGGTTAATGTATAGTATACTGTTTAGGGTAATGTAGGGTACAATGTGTAGTGTATGGGTTAATGTATAGTATAGTGTTTAGGGTAATGTAGGGTACAATGTGTAGTGTATGGGTTAATGTATAGTATATTGTTTAGGGTAATGTAGGGTACAATGTGTAGTGTATGGGTTAATGTATAGTATAGTGTTTAGGGTAATGTAGGGTACAATGTGTAGTGTATGGGTTAATGTATAGTATACTGTTTAGGGTAATGTAGGGTACAATGTGTAGTGTATGGGTTAATGTATAGTATAGTGTTTAGGGTAATGTAGGGTACAATGTGTAGTGTATGGGTTAATGTATAGTATAGTGTTTAGGGTAATGTAGGGTACAATGTGTAGTGTATGGGTTAATGTATAGTATAGTTTAGGGTAATGTAGGGTACAATGTGTAGTGTATGGGTTAATGTATAGTATACTGTTTAGGGTAATGTAGGGTACAATGTGTAGTGTATGGGTTAATGTATAGTATAGTGTTTAGGGTAATGTAGGGTACAATGTGTAGTGTATGGGTTAATGTATAGTATAGTATTTATGGTAATGTAGGGTACAATGTGTAGTGTATGGGTTAATGTATAGTATACTGTTTAGGGTAATGTAGGGTACAATGTGTAATGTATGGGTTAATGTATAGTATATTGTTTAGGATAATGTAGGGTACAATGTGTAGTGTATGGGTTAATGTATAGTATAGTGTATAGGGTAATGTAGGGCACAATGTGTAGTGTATGGGTTAATGTATAGTATACTGTTTAGGGTAATGTAGGGTACAATGTGTAGTGTATGGGTTAATGTATAGTATAGTGTTTAGGGTAATGTAGGGCACAATGTGTAGTGTATGGGTTAATGTATAGTATACTGTTTAGGGTAATGTAGGGTACAATGTGTAGTGTATGGGTTAATGTATAGTATATTGTTTAGGGTAATGTAGGGTACAATGTGTAGTGTATGGGTTAATGTATAGTATAGTGTTTAGGGTAATGTAGGGCACAATGTGTAGTGTATGGGTTAATGTATAGTATACTGTTTAGGGTAATGTAGGGTACAATGTGTAGTGTATGGGTTAATGTATAGTATATTGTTTAGGGTAATGTAGGGTACAATGTGTAGTGTATGGGTTAATGTATAGTATATTGTTTATGGTAATGTAGGATAAAATGTGTAGTGTATGAGTAAATGTATAGTATATTGTTTATGGTAATGTAAGATAGAATATGAAGTGTAGGAGTTAATGTATAGTATATTGTTTAGGGTAATGTAGGGTAGGAATGTGTAGTGTATGGGTTAATTAATATATAGTATACTGTTTATGGTAATGTAGGGTAGAATGTGTAGTGTATGGGTTAATGTATAGTATATTGTTTAGGGTAATGTAGGGTACAATGTGTAGTGTATGGGTTAATGTATAGTATATTGTTTAGGGTAATGTAGGGTACAATGTGTAGTGTATGGGTTAATGTATAGTATATTGTTTAGGGTGATGTGGGGTAGAATGTGTAGTGTACGGGTTAAGAAAAACGTTACCGTCCCAGTGGTGCCTTAGATTAGTAAGAGTTACAGCCCCAAGCAGCAGCCATTTCAGCTTCCATCATTAAAGTGACAGCAGGTACCATTTGGGAGTGTAGCTCACGCTAATCTTGGGCAGACCGATGTTACATGAAATTATTTGGCACCATTACTTTATCTCTCACAGAGCTGAATGCAGAGGGCAGTCCAGTTCAGACTACGTGGACCTATTTTGATATGTGGATGGACATTCTAAACAACATAACCACAACAGCTGAGAATGCTGAGCTAACTCACCCCAAGCAATCTCAGCCAATTATCTCTGTCCAGGATGGCCGAAATTGTCAGCGATAATGTGAAATTATCATCATCATCATTATTATAATTATTATTAAATTCCACATTAACAGTGTGGCTGAGGGAGAAGTGATAATGGGATGCCATACAACATAATCACTACACTGAGCTGTAATGGTTATATTGCTTAGTGTTCTATAAATTGCTTTAGTTCTACAACAAGGGTAATGTTGTAGAACTAAGGTGCCCCCAAAAAGGAAACACTTCTCTGTAAGTATGTACAAGGAGGAGAGAGAAGCAACACATGGAAGAATAAATACAAGTGTGGAATTTAAACATTAAAATCATAAAAAAATGAAATGGTAAAAATAATACACCACGGGGAAAAACGGAGGACAAAAAAAAAAAAAAGCAGAAGCAATGAAATAAAATGGCAATGTAAAGAATGAGAAAAAAATGGAAAAAATTAGGAAAAATTTGTTAAAAAAAAAAAAAAAAAGAAAACTGAATGATAGAGAGAAATGAAGAAAGTTTAAAGCAATTAAGAGTAGAAAAAAAAGAGAGTTAAAGTCACAGACATAATTATTGCTCTGCTAATACATTTCTAAAATTATCTCCATTAATATGTAACCAGTACTCCGCTTCATGTTACTGGCTGTACTCTATATAATATTAATAGTATAATACAGATAATGGCTCAAGCTTTGATTTCAGTATAATAGAAATAAAATAGAACGTGTACCAGAGGACAAAATAGGAAAACTACAAGCATCAATGAATCTAAACTGCATCTAATCCAATATGTAAATAGGATGCACATTTACTCTTATCTAAAATATGTCACACCTTACTGCCCCTTAAAGTACCAAAACAACATTGCTGTTTCAGGAAAATGGCAATGTTTACAGCTACCCCTCACCATGCCTCTAGTGAAAAAAAAATATATATTTATTTTCAATCAAAATTAAATAAATAAATACATATTTGAAAGTTTAAATATGAACTCTGTTGACTCTATGTCAAGCTGTGAGTTGTCTAAAGTGGTCTATTTATCTGTGGTGGACATCTAGATGACAAAGTGTAATCAGTTATGTTAAAGGCACCAACATCAGATTCTGCAGTGGAAGCATCACAAATATCAGCTCAATTTGAGGATTCTGAAGCTTAGTACATAACAGGCCTGGAGACAGCATGGTTTCGAACTCATGACCTGGCATGACAAAATGTAAACATTAGACATGGATGCAGTCCTGTTACTCACCATTGTTAAACTGAGTTACTTCTTCCAGGAAAGCTTCAGAAAGTTCAGTGAACAGCTTCTCCTTCTGTCTCATTGATATTCTTTTCTTCGCAGTTAAATGTTCCAAGGTTTTAGAGACGGCATTCAGTCTGCATTCACTTTCTTTCTGAATCTGGAATTTCAAAGACTCGACCACCTTTGCCATATATTCCCAACTGATCATTTTCTCTTGGAGTTCCTTTTAAAATACACGAGAAATCTGCATCACCGTTTACAACTACATTTTTACAATTTGATAATAAAAAATATTTTTGTGAATTCTTACGTTCTATTGAAGGTATGAACATCATTAACATCAGTATGTCAACAGAGAAAGGTAAACACAATTTGCTAACGTTTTGTTAAGACATTGCATCATGAGAAGAAAGGTTTACCTTCAGTTAATACTATTATTATTTTATTTATTTAGCGCCAGCATATTCCGTAGCGCTTGAAAATATTATCAAAGGGGGAGATTTAACAATAAATGAGACCATTACAAAAAAACTTATAGGGACAATAGGTTGAAGAGGGCCCTGCTCTGTCTATAGACAGAAACCATATCAAGCATTTTAACACACATATGTCTCCTATTCCTATTTCTGTACAGAAGTGGTTTATTGGGAACAAAGAACTCACCGAGACCTTTGGCATTGGCTCTCAAGAAAAACAAAAGAACTTGGAAAGCATGTGGTCTATCTCCCTATATGTTTCTGGTGGACAATCCTGTTCACAGGAATAAGCAACATTTTTGTGGTAATGACAACATACTTAAAGGACCACTATAGGCACCCAGACCACTTCAGCTTAATGAAGTTGTCTGGGTGCCAGGTCCCTCTAGGGTTAATCCTGCCTGCTGTAAACATAGCAGTTTCAGAGAGAATACCTTCCTATGGACTGACTGAATGCAGGTGCGGATCTTGCCGGATCTTGCATTCAGCCAATAATGTCCAAAGGAGGTGGAGAGTCCAGCGCCGAGGGAACCCAGCGCTGGATAAAGGTAAGTGATTTAACCCCTTCCTCCAAATTCAGCCCGGCAGGAGGGGGGCCATGAGGGTGGGGGCACACGCAGGGCACTATAGTGGTCCTTTAACCACTTAAGGACACATGACATGTATGACATGTCATGATTCCCTTTTATTCTAGAAGTTTGGTCCTTAAGGGGTTAAATACACTTCTTTATTAAACCTACAGACACTTTGGATTTTGAAAAAAATGTGCCTACGGTAAAAAAAGTGATGGAAATCAGCAGAAGACTTCTAGACACTAAACGGAAAGTCTTCTTTTTCTAGTTGTATTGTGACACAGGGTATTTTACATATGTTTTTAGTAGATGCTTATGATTTAAAAATATAATCTTTTGTGTATCAGTATCTTATAGTAAATTGGACCCTCGTAGTTTACATAAATAAAGCACATATTGTTACTGTGCTGGTTAGCTGATATACTTTACCATTGCCTGTATTTCCTGGGATTCACACAGGATTTTGTCAACAATTAACATTTTGGAAATCAGATTTGTCATTATTCTTCCAGCTTCATCATACGTGCACTTTGCTTGGTCCATAAAGAATTGGTGTACGTTCTCAATTTGCTTCCAAAAACTTTCGATCTACAAAAGATCAAAAACATGCCCAAATGTTAGTAGGTGTTTTAAAACGCACAGAACAATCTATTAGTAGGAATTGAAAATGTCACAGCTTGATAATCTAGTGTAATTTGTCTATTAAACATTTCCATTCAGATAGCAAAGCCAGGTCTGACAAAAATCTTTAAAGACGTTTTTTTTTTTTGGTAAAACTGTTTTTTGACCTGTCTGCACAGATGAGAACAATCTTACAACACAACATGTGTGCACTGGTTCAAAGCATCTGCTTAGAAATTAACATTATATATAATATGGAAATGCAATCCCCAGGGGGAATATAAAATCGTGCAATCTGATAAGTAAAACTCCTTGTTCCGTTTTCTTTCTGTAACAAAAAAAAAGTGATAACTGAAAAATGAATTGAAAAAATGGAGTAGGCAACGAATGAAAAGCCTTCTTGGATCTTTGTTGTCTATATGTTTCACTTATCCTACAATTTCATAATGAAAGGTTAGTAAAAATAAATATACATGGATAAATTTACAATCTGAATGAGGTGATCTGAGTATTCTCGTTCTTTTCGTTCAATGTCCTCCATAGTTTGGACCTTGGGATTTTGTCCTCTGACCAGCTTGGTAGAAGTCACCCTTGATCGATAACGTTCTTCAAGTTCCTTCAGTTCCTGTAGAGAACAAGATACATTGTTTAAAGATAAAGGGACAGAGACATAAATAGGGGGAATTTGCAAACTCATTCTACTATATTATTAATGTATCTTTCTACTCCAAACAGAAACCACTGATTTAACCTGTAGCCTGGCATCTAACATAAACAGGTGTAAATAATTTTCTATCCTTTGCTGAACTATAAAAAGACTAGATTGTACGCGTTTTATTAGGTCCTTTAGAAATGGGCTTGCATTCAGTGGATTGGTAGTAGAATATATTATTTGAACCTCCAATGGAAGCACACCTTATAGGCCCATTCCGAACCACTGGAAATACTTCTGTTGACAGTTTTCAATCCCAAGCCACTTCCCCTAGTGAAATAGTCTTACTGGTTATTATCAATTATTTTGTTTGGGTTACACAATACAGTCATGGGGAACATCTATTATCTAGCCACAAGTACGAAAAGAAAAATGAGCCAAATTAAATCTGTGTGGGGAAAACCCCTGATTGTGCCAACTATTCCGATTTACCCGTTAGCCACTACAAATAATCAATAGTGATGTTCCGAACGGTTTGCCGAACGGTTCGTCACGAACGGTTCGCCACGGACTCATCATTGAGTAAACTTTGACCCTGTACCTCACAGTCAGCAGACACATTCCAGCCAATCAGCAGCAGACGATTCCTCCCAGACCCTCCCACCTCCTGGACAGCATCCAGGGCCGGCGCTACCTGTAAGGCAGACTAGGCACCCCTTACAAACTCACACACTTCATCCCTTACATACACAGAAACACACCTTGCAGCCCTTACACATACAAACACAGATTCACACAATGCATTCCTTACACACAAATCAGGACATCCCCTACACACTCCACCCCCTGTGAACAAACTCATTGGTGGAACATGAAGGTGGACCCTGGGACCCAGACCTTGAGCTGTGTAAAGGGCACCCAAAAAATGGAGCTGCTTCTTGTTCTCCCAGAACATTGATTTTTGTGACCACAGTTACAAACAGCCTCCAGAGATCCTGTTATACACCAGACCAGTGGAGCCAGACTGCAGCTAGAGCCCATCATCATCCTCATCTGCTTGTAAGTAGGTAATCTAGTATATTATTCGTGGCACTAATCTCTAATTTACCTCACATTAAAGAAACACTATAGTCCCCAGAACCACTGCAGCTTAATGTAGTGGTCCTGGTGTCTATAGCCTGTCCCTGCAGGCCTTTTAATGTAAACACAGCGGCACTGCAGCACTGCAGCACTAGTTAACATGGCAGGTCATATGGGTGGGGCATTGTGATGTCACGGGGCAAAACTTTACTTTTGCCTAGGGCGGCAAAAAATCCTTGCACCGGCCCTGACAGCATCCATTTTACATTCATTGTGAAGCTGCATTCTTAGTGAGCTGTCCAGGAGGTGGGAGGGTCTGGGAGGGAGGGTCTGCTGCTGATTGGCTGGAATGTGTCTGCTGACTGTGAGGTACAGGGTCAAAGTTTACTCAATGATGAGTCTGTGGTGAACCGTTCGCGAACTGTTCGGTGAACCGTTCGGGACATCACTAATAATCAATTTATTGATTAAATCTGTCCTCCTTTGAAAAATAGTTTAGGTACTGATAGAAATTATCAATAGCAGTAAAGAACACATGTCATTGAATTATAATGTTACATGAGCCATTTTCCTAAACAGGTCTATTTTGTAAATGCGCTTGTGCAGTAATGACATGTTTTAAAAATCCACTATTTTAAAATAATTACAACTAGTGCTAAATGCAAAAATTTAGAAATTATGTGTTTGTCTATTTTTTTTATTTGTATTTTTAAATGCCTCTAGCATTCTCAGTCAATCAATGTCATCCTGGCTACACAAAATTGACAACTAATATCAAGGAAGGTTTGATTGTGCATTATCGATGCGTCCAACAGTGGGGAGGTACCTTGACACCAGGAAAATCCTTGTACGCAAGCCAGTTATGATCAATTAATTTCCAAGCAAATTAGACATCTTAGTAAATAGTAATAAGGTATTGTAGCAATATGAACTCTTACTGCCTCTTGTGTCCTAAGTATGTTTCGATACATTTCTCCATCAATCTTCTTTTTCAGCAACAGATCAGTAAGGTTTATTCGTAGAATCTGAACAAACATCTGCAATACAGAATCGTATTTGAAAAAAAAATCAATAATCCAGTAATTTCAAAGGCGTTGAAGTGAAGCAAATCTATATTTCATTTTATGTATGTTTGTTCCTTACTCATAAAAATGATTTAGAAAATCTTTTGACCCCCATTGCAAATGTCAGGTGGATTTTGAAGTTTACATTGGAGTTAAAAAGTCATGTAGTATCGAAGATGCTGGCATTACAGTCTGTCCGATTAAACCTCATGCTTATTTTACTTCTTTATTCTTCAAAGTAGGTTAATAGAACCATAATGATATCAAGAAAACTAATTAAAATAATAATAATTCTGTATGTTATAGTATGTATTAAAAAATATTACTTTGCAAATTGGCAATGGCGAAACTTATTTAGATTAATTATTAAGGAATCCTTTTGATAACATAACAAAAAAGAAAAAAAATTCAGTATAATACAGTCATCACCAGCGCAAGCATAAATAGCAGTCTGTGATTGTATAACCCACTACCTCTATACAGATATGAATAAACATTGTGTATACGGTGTTGCAGATCTATCTATCTGTAGTGGACCCTGGGTAACCCGGCTGGTTACCTCCGCTTTTAATGAATGAAGAGACCCATCCCCCCTCCCCCCCCGTAACTGGACGACAAACAGTTCCAGGAGTACAACAACTTTCTTGGCCCCACTCGGCTTTATACTTTCCCCATGCATGGGGTGGATCCGAAGCTCCAGTCCCTTTGTCCCCTGTTCCTGCCACTCAGTGTCCCCCTCCCAGGGCACTCCCAGGGGTCTTCTTCCCAGAAATCTCTGTAGTGCGGGAAACGTCCTGCCATTTTACCTCCCAGTGACAGAGAACCTGCCAACCTCCACCATTGTCCCCAAAGGATGTCCCCACCAATCTCAGGGACGGTAACCATCATGAACAGCCACTGTTTGTGTGGTCCCTGTGTGAATCCTGGCAAGGGAAGTGTCTCCTTTCGGGACGTGAATGCTCCCCCTGGCCGACGTTCATCTGTACGAACAGCGGCCACCCAGAGAAGCACTCATTAATTACTTCCCTTGCGGTTTCACACTATGTTGTGAGTTTCCAACGTTCTAATTGATTGGTGTGAACATTCCAATGGGTGCCGGGGAGGTCCTCGTTCAGGAACGAGGTGGGAAGCAATCCACGAATGCTCCCCCTGGATGGCGTTCGTCTAACGAATGGGCTGCCACCCAGGGGGAGCTACGTGCCGAGGCTTCCTATGCGGTTTGTGAGGTGTGAACGTTCTGTATCAACATTATAAATGGGGTTTTGTGGTGGTCCCCCTTTGGGAGGTGAATGGAGCCCCTCGTGGCGGCACTCCCGAATGGGGAGCTGGCAGTTCAGATGAACACATAGTGTGAAATACATGACTAAGATAGGGAAAATACACTAAAGAGATGCTAAGACTGTAACACACATCACAGAACAACCCGGTCAATTCATAGTTTAGCGGCGGTCCCGTTACACTATCCATCTATCTCAATTACTGCAAATGGGGTGAACAGTGCATTGTATCCAACGCTGGAGATTGGAATAAGTGTGATAAAATTTTAGACACTTTCCCATCATCTTCTCATTTTATTTTCCATGTGATGCAAAGTTTACTGCTGCCTATCTAATTGGTATTAATGGGAGACAATGGCTGGACAACAAAATTTACATTTTCTCCCCTTCTTCTAACCAATAATGACACATATGTAATCATGTAAATTAATTTTGTTCACAATATTTTAATTGTTCAATTTTATTTTTGTCATTGTATTTACATTGTTTATTTAAAATGAACACTCTAATGTTAAAAATTAGTATATTTAAAAAAATATATATTTTGTATTTTTGCAGTGCATAATGACATTGCAAACACGCTTGAGGTGCCCCAACACCAGTCCTCATGCCAATCATCCCGCATAACAATTTGGGTAGTGAGAGAAAAATGCACAATTTTTTTGTATGATAAGTACAATAAGTACAGGTTAAGCAGTATACGTCTAGGTTAACTTTTAAAGGAGAGTCACTAAGTTAAGTGTAGATATGTTAACAAAAGTAGGATGCAATTACATATATGTGGGAGTCAGTACCCTACAGGCTGATCATGCATGTCTAAACGGTTGATTGTGGTTAGCTTGTATATAGAAACAAAGTATCTACACATACTAACAGGCTAGTATTCCTGGTATAATAACATATAGGTTAGACTCATGTCGCTTGCTGGCTGTTGCTAAAGATCTTTATTGGTACAGAAGTAAACATATCTAAGATAAGATAACGATTTTAACCACTGGAATCAGCACTCCATGATCCCCCCTATATTACACATGTATTACGAGTAGAGTGAAGAAAGCATGAAAAATAAACAATAAAAGGATTGTGGTACAGCTAAGCCTGAGGGATTCCTCCGCGCTCTCAGGCTCTCTACCCAAAGTCGGGGCAGCAACAGAGATGTGCAGTTCTCCGGAGCCTCCCAGAATCGTTGGAAGTGCTTGTCTAGCCGCTGTAGGAATTGCTCCACGGAGCTAGGGGCCAGTGCAGGCTGCACACGTGCTCCTTCTCTTGGTCAGGACACCGTCGCCATCTTAAGTCGTATTTCAGAGCGTGGCTAGGCCCCGGTTCAGATTAGGAGGTAAGTGCCGTATCAGTTGTTCTAGACAGTCCAGTGGGGACCAGGATGACCCCCGCCTGTTCAGAGGGGGGGCGAGGGTAGGAGAGTGTCAGGACGATTGAGCTCTCGAAGAGCGGCTGCCTCTCCCTAGCTCTGATGCAGCAGGCCGCAGCAGTGGATCTCTGAGTCCCGGTGAGTAGCCGATTTGGTATAGTCCCAAGCTGTGTCGTTGGTACCCCTTGAGCTCGGTAGTTCCCGTCCGTGGGTTGAATCGCTGGTTTGCCGGGGTTAAGCACTCCAAATCTGCTTATTTTGCAGGAGCTCGGGACCCACATAGCTCCGCTTGGTGGCTAGACTCCGCTCCCAGTATATTTATTTTTAACATAATCCTTTATAACTTAGATGACTAAACCACCCTTTGTATAACAAAAAAAACCAAACATTAAATTAATCCAGTGCTGGGCACTCCTTTCTGTAACCCGATAGGCTTTGCTCATCAACATTGATGGTCCAATCAGATGCTTCTCACAGAGAAGCGTTGCGTACCTACGGCACGTGTGTAGCAATTGTTGCACTCTGCCAATCCAAAGCATCTCATAGGTCTTAATGAAGAAAATCTCTAGAAACCTCTAGAGGCGGATTTTAGGCAAAATGTAAAAAAAAAACAATTTCTTAGAAATTTTAATGTATTACACTGCCAGACAAAAAAGCAGCATTGGGACCTGATGCCCACGTGCCTGACATGGAAAACATTGACTTTAAATCTTTTCTATGAGCCGCAACATCACGTGAGCGAGTTTTACTCGGCCAGTGCAGTGAAAGTGCCTCTAGTGGCTGGCTGGCAGACAGCCACTGGAGGTGTGTTTAACCCTTCAATGGAAAGATTTCTATTTCAGGGTTAGAAATGACAGAATCACTTCACACTTCATTATTTTAATAACTCTGCCTCCAAATTACAATCAAAAATGTAACACATCATTATAATGGCATTTTAAATATATTAACCCCTTCTCTGCAGCACTTCTAAAAATAATAATGATGGTAAAGCTTAAAATGTAACAGTGCACATGAAATAAGGATCTACGAGTCATTTTGAGTACAAATTACTGTTTAACTGTATTTAAAACACTAGATTAATATTCATTACAGAATTATTTTTTTAGACATTTGTTCATTGTTTGCAGAAATATTGGAAGGCATATATTGTTAGAGATCATACAGTTTGTTTTGTCTTTATAAAACGCTTAGAATAAATAGTACCGAAGGACAAATTCATTTATTTTTTTCTTACAAACCCTATTCATGTTCTACAATTCAATCAATGTAAAATCCTCGTTATCCTTAATGTTATTGAATCCATTACTATATTGAATCAGAAAAATAAAAATGGTAGACAAAAGTCCACCTTGCCATGTATTTCTAACAATGGCGCTATGAACTGGAGGAGAGAGTGCTATGAATTCTATGATAGAGTGTTATGAATACTATTGGATGATGGAACGTGAGATACATTAATCAATATTATTTACAGGAAATAAAGTAGTAGTTTTTGCAATCTCCTAAAAAGTACGGTTTCAGGTTTACAAAGTGAATTTAAACATGTACATGTGCTGAACGACTTACAGGGTTATTGACTAGAGTGAAAATTGCCAGGAACTCAGAGTAAATTTCAAATTTAAGGTCAAAATAGCCAAATTGAAAACTGACTTGGAGAATTACCGCTTAAATTGTGAAATTCACTTTAAATTAACTTTTAATTTCCAAGAATTCTTACTTTAGAGATTTATCCAGCGCAGTCTTTAATGTGGGGCAAACGGGGCAGTTACCCCGCACCCTTTTACTTCTGGGGGGGCCAAGGCAGCTGCCCCGTGGGCCCCGCTGCCCTCAACAACTTACTCTCACTCCATGGGCCCCGGTGCATCCTGTTGCCCGCACACTAAGGAGGCCCACTTGGGCACTGTAGCCCTTTAACAGCACGACCGGGCCCCCTTGCTTTTAGGCAGCATGAGAGGAAGTGATTGCCGTGAGTCACTTCCTCCCAGAGAGAGCCACGTGGGATAGACCAGGGAGGCAGAGAGGAAGGGGGCTGGGCCGGATTGCCAGTCGGCAACACCCAACAGCCTCAGCCACCACTCTGGACACCAGGGAAGCAATCCTTCAAAGTAGGAAAGGGGAAGTAGATTTAAAAGTGTCAATTGTGTGTGTGTGTCTGTGTGTGAATGTGTCCGTATGTCTGTGTGTCTGTCAGTGTGTGTGTCAGCATGTCTGTGTGTCAGTATATCTGTCAATACATGTGTGTGTCAGTATGTTTGTCAGTGAATTTGTATGGGTCAGTATGTCTGTCAATGGGTATGCCATTATGTTGGTCAGTGAATGTCTGTGTGTCGGTCAGTGTATGTGTCTTTGTGTGTGTGTCAGTATGTCTGTGTGTGTGTCTTTGTGTCAGTATGCCTGTCAGGGTATGTGTCTGTGTGTGTGTCAGTATGCCTGTCAGTGTGTTTGTGTATGTCTGTGACAGCATGTCTGTCAGTGTGTGTGTGTGTGTCTGCATGTGTGTGTGTCAGTGTATGTGTGTGTGTGTGTGTGAGTGAATGTCAGAATGTATGTCAGTATGTCTGTACGTGCATGTGTCAGTATGTCTGTCCGTGTATATGTCTGTGTAAGTATGTATGTGAAAGGTGAGATTGCATGCCAGGGAGTAGGGGGAGGTTCCAGGGGGCCCCATAAAATCTTTGCCCAGGGTCCTAGTGATATTATAGACAGCCTTGGATTTACCCCAAGTGAAACCCCCAATACTGTGTGCTGTAAGTCCGTACTGAAATTCCTACAGCTTGCTGCCCATTTCTAACCCTAAATGTGATTATGGAATGGCCTTAAAACAACTATTTATCACTCACCGTGTGCTGCTCTTGTCTTAGTTCTAAGTCGAGAAGAGGCAAACTTTGCAAACACAGGCTATACAGACAGAGTTTAACATCACAGCTAAAATAAAAAACAAAAACAAAATCAAACAAGAATACATGTCTAAAAGCTAAAATTCACAAATACAAATGAAAAATAATTATATATTGCTTGTTTCAGTTGAGTTCAGAATTTGTAAAATAACAAATCAGGATTAGCACAGCAAACAAAGCAAAGGCTTTATTTTATTCTTACCTGTGAATTTTTCTTTTCATTTACCATGATATCCATTTTAGCTGAAATCCAATCTCTCGAACCAGCAACATAATCATTACACAGCAATGTATTCAATGGATACCGTGCTGTTATTCTCCTGCAATCACCAGCAAAACGTGGGTCCAGATTGCTCTGAGACCGGAGCAATTTTTGGAGACTTTGCATTTCCTGTCTAGTCCATCATTGGCACTAATGAAAGTGCAGGAAAATATGAAGCATACACAGACAGCATTGACAGGTCTGTCTGTGTCTCCAGTCCAAGCCTTCTTCCCATAGCAATCAGGAGTAAGAGGGAAAATTGGTGATGAAAGCAGAGCCTATTAGCACCAAAACCACTGCCCTTTAAAAAAAAAAAAATATATATATATATATATATATATATATATATTTATTTTTCATTCCTTGCACCCAAGTTAAAAGGATTTGTCCCCAAGTCACAATGTGAATGAGAGAGACCCTTGTAGAAAATTATAGCAACTTTCTCTATTCCCCTCATCCACACTACCCCCTTTTGCTTTAAACAAATTATTTTTTAAATGAATTGTTCACATAAATTATAACAAATGTAAGAAAATAAAAGAAGAAAATAAGGTGAAATACAGTAGAATGAATTCCTTTGGTGCCAAAAATAGGAAGGCAGGAAAGGGGTTATCTTCTTAAATGGAGATAGCGATTTTGTTGAAAGAGACTATCAGCATGAAAATGAGGACTTAATCATCATCTATCATATCTAAGCCATGGTGAAATGATGTCAGATTACAACCTGGTCTGGTTTTCTTTCCATTTCAGTGAATTATTGCACTATGGAAATTACATGATGACCTTAAAACACTTATCAATACACAACCCTCTGCTGAAACCTGTTCATCATCCATCAGTTTATAACTACTGACAGCGACATCGAAATGTGAGTCATTTGTATGTGAGCGTGCTAGGCTGGCATTTTATTTGACGCCACATTCATCAAAATCAGAATCAGAAATGGAGAAACCCCTGTTATTATTTGATTGTTACATATTTATGAATGAAATAAAAAGCTATTACTGGTGAATGTTCTTGCACTGATTACTCTGAGTCACAATGGTGCTATATTACACCAGTTCTGCTGCATTTATAATACTTCCTGTACAATGCCCAATGCATATATTCATGAAAGCTGCAGGATAAATGAGAGTAGCCTTTTTCTACAATATAATTTATAAAGCACCAACAAATTCCGCAGCGCTGTACAATGGGTGGACTAACAGACACTTATTTGTAACCAGACGAGTTGGACGCACAGGAACAGAGGGATTGAGGGCCCTGCTCAATGAACTTACATGCTAGAGGGAGTGGGGTATAGAGACACAAAAGGTAAAGGTAAGGTAGGAAAGTAGGGTGCTAGAATAGTATTCACTGAGGGCTTATTGTTTTGTTTGCTGACAGTTTCAGGAGAGGAATCAGGGTGCGGGTAGGGAAGGCTGTTCACAGTTTAATTAAAATGTTTTCCTGAAGAAGTGAGCTTTCAAAGATTTTTTGAAGGAGTGGAGATTGGGTGAAAGTCTAACAGTGAGGGGAAGGGCATTCCATAGGAATGGTGCAGCCCTAGAGAATTCTTTAAGGTGAGCATCAGAGGTAGGAGTACTAACAGAGGTTAGACATAGGTCTTTGGCATTCATACCATCATGCCTTTTGTTACAATGTTTAGTTTATAACCATTCTACAAATTGAGGCATTTTCATAAATAATTGGTCAAATTTTCCATCAAATATTCATTGTTCCTTTCCCTGACTTTTCGATAGTCAGTTTGTAAACCAAAAGGACAGACAACTAATGTAACATGAAATGGTCAAAGACTGCACCTATTTCTACAGACTGTATTATATTGTTACAGTAACTTACTATACAGCAAAGATTCCCCTAAAGACTTGAGTAAGTAAAGTAGGAAGCCATTAACAGCTCTTTCATAATAACACAACTGAATAAGAAGAGAAGGAACCATGGACGATAGGATAAGCCAAACGTGTTGTGTGACATATTTTATAGAATTTTGGACAATGTATTTCCTTTGTCTAAACTATGCTCATGTTCCCAAAAAAAAGAGTTCTGCAATTTAAGGTGTATGTAAGATCTTTTTTTCCCCATAATAAATGTTGGTTCTAGATTTTAACCAAATTTTCTGTGTTCCCTTTAAACCCGCATATATGTGTCATCATACTATAAAACTAGGAAGAAAAGTCAGCTCTCAAAAAGCCCACCAAACCAGCACTGTTTCTCTATCAATATACCACAAAATGTATTTGTTTCACTTGATTTTTCTATGGGGAAACTGGATTTCTGGTTGACAGGAAGGGTACCAGTGAATTTTTAACCTTCAGGTACCCGATAGGTAAATATAGATCATGGAATAGCACTTAGATTTTAAGTGTAACGTGCCCCTCATTCCCTTGATTAGGTAATATTGCTAAGTCCACATGCTCACTCAAAAGGTCTCTATCACATTTCTTCATGTTTACTGTCTGTAAAATTTTCAAGCATAAATGCCAGTCTTCTTGCTGTCCCTATGAGACCAGTGGCAATGGCATGCTGTCAAGTAGATTGAGACATACTTCTAGTTTTGACATTATGTATAAAGTCACTTTTTTTGTATTATCACAACTCAAAAAGTTAGCTCAGTGTGAAAGCATCCATTCCAAACTACTTGGGATTTTTGAGCCTTCTAGAGTTGTCCCACATTCAACTCAAGATAGTCTATACCTCTTTAATAATAGCTTATTCTATGTCTGTGAACTTTGCAGTTAAAGGGGTCCTTGATTCCAAACCTTGAAAGAGTGGAGATGTGATTACATCACTGATAAGGAATATAGTTGCTTCAAACAGTGTAGATGTTTTTTTTTTTTTCCCTCACCTATTACATGAAAGGACTTCTGGAAAACTTGTCACCCGTGGAAAGGTCCGTTCATAAAATCTATCTTCACTTGTGGTGGAATGTATGGTTGTAGAAGAACTGCTGTCATCCTTCTCTCTATGGCTTAGAGATTCAATACTGCTGCAGGCAGAACCTTCAATCATCTGATTAGGCAATTGTGTTTGCTTGACGTTCTCATGCAGTGAAGGGTTGGAGGCTCCATCTGCAAGAGGCTGTAACCGCAAGATTTTGGGGAGTCATTTCTGATACTCTAGGACGGTCACATATAAGTGACGCAACAAAAATGGCCTTTTCTTTCCCGCACATAGCAAAATTCTTAATAAAGGATGTATATATGCTAATTAAATGCAAACATTGACTTTCCTAATGCAAATGTAACATTATCTTCAGGGGGAAAATAGTGTACTTTACACGAATGCTCTAAATACATGGGCTACATGAACACATTAAAACTTGAGGTAAGATAACTTTAAGAAGCATGTTGCTTAATGCACAGGTGCTCCAAATAAATTAATACATTAAAAATAAATACATAAAACTATATACAATTAAAAAAAATAAATCAAAAGAAACAAACATGTGAAATAAAATTGTAGCACACTCCCCTTCAGGATTACTTTTTTAATAGGAAAGAGAAGGTTAATAAATAAGGATGGCATTTGTATTAGCTTACATACCAGTAGCACCAGGAGACCTCTCAATAAAGTCAATATAAAAAAAGTTTATTTTAGCTTTTGTTTCTTTGTAATAGCAATACTGTGCATAATATTAACACATTCAGAGTTATTTACTAAAGTAAAAATTGTTGGGAATTCAAAGTAAATTTCAAATTCAAAGTCAAAATAGCTGAATTGGAACCCCCCTCCTCAATGTCAGCTATCCTTCCAGTTTTAGTATTGTGACATTTCTAATTCCTGACAATTCACACTTTAGTAAATAACCCTGCTAGTGTTTCCTATTATTACACTATCCTGAAACTCTATTTAGCATAATTCTTTCAGTATTTTAAGACCTGTATCTACACTCTATAACATACATACAGTGATAAAAGTAGACATGTATTTTCCACCAGCCTACCTCTGAATGTTCACATGGAGTACTGGATAGCTTGAACACTTTTAGGGGGGCAGCAGAATAAAAAAAATAAAAGGCTCACCTCCAGCCATTTCCACCATCATTTTTGCCCTTCAGAGGTTCCACAAGACCAAAACCTCAGAAAACCTTTCCTGAAGACTATCATCACTAACTAGTGCTGACATCAATCTGTTACACTCCTATGGCCCTCACAGACTGAGCTGATTCCGTAACTCAGACATACACTGTACTGTCTATTTCTTCTTTCTCATTATACCGCTGAGGTGATCTCAAAGTAGCTCTAAAATCTGTGAGTGCATTACTCTTGCGACTTACTATGCTTATTATTGCAACTAAAAATAGAGTTCCACAATAAATATATTATGTTCATTTTTTTCATGTACTGCTGATCACTACAGTCACAATTACATTATAATATTACAATATACATCAAGAAACATAAATACACAATGTACATAAAGAAAAAAAATGCATTTATTTATTTTGCTTCTTTATGTATATTGTGTATTTTTGGTGAAGGCTCACTACAGTTGGCACATATATTTTATTTTTTTTGGTGCCCGATTTTGCTCAAAGTATGTTTGTTCAATGAAGGTCAAACAATGTGTATTTGGTAGCTATGTATAATAAATCGTGCTAAATCTCATCAGCAGATATGATGAAAAAAAAAAAAAAATGAGTCGCTTTAAGTCCGTCAAACGCTTCCCATTTTACAATAAATGGTTGTCATATTAGCAATTCATCAATATATAACTGTGATCTAACAAACCGTTGCTTACCCGAAACTTTTGATTTATTGGATAAATAACTTTGGCCTTTAATGCAAACTCAGCAACTCCATTGTCTGATAGCGGATTATCTGCCTGTAAAAAGAGTAAAATGCGGCGTACATATTAAGCAGGTATAAATATGCTACAAAGTGCAGAGCTTAGCACACTGCTACGAAGAAGGGCACTTTTGAAGAAAGTAAAAGACTTAGCTGCACAGTTAAAATTACTTTCACAAAAAAAAAAGAATTATATAAAATATCAGAGCATAAAAGAATAATTTGCGGTTATTTTTAGAGGACACATTAAATATCCAAATGCACAAGTGGGAAAGCAGGATAAATAAACCATGAAGCATTATCCAATTATTCACACAAATAAAGCCTAACAGAGCGTGATGTTATTAAGTTGACGAAAGCTGTTCCTCAATTAATTATTATGTAGCTGATCTTCCTCTTTGCTGCCCATTTGCATTGCGTTTTATATGTTTTGTTACCTTGCGAGTTGTGTATTTTATAAAACAGACACTTCATCAATTGATGAGAACTACGTTGCCTTTTATGCAGAAAATGTGTGGCTTTCAAGAATCTTAAACGGGAATTAACTGTCAATATACTTTAAAAAAAAAAAATCTCCATGTATTGTCATTTTATTCAGTATATATTATCATACCTCCTGGATGGTCTTATGGTGACATGCCTGTAATATCACTTGTAAAAAAAGGGGTGCAAGGAAGGACAACTGGTGAGCCGGCATCAGGGTCAGGGGCACCCAAGGCTCATTGATGCAGGTGGGGAGCTAATCTTAGCTCCACATAGAAGAGCTACTGTAGCTCGAATGGCTGAAAAACATAATGCTGGCTATGACATGCTGCTTATAGCTATGCGACAGTCAAAAAATGACCCCTGTAAACCTCTGAAAGCGGTTTCAATGGGGACGTGAGCGTCAAAACTGGACCATGGAGCAATGGAAGGAGGTTGCCTGGTCTGATAAATCATGTATTCTTTTAGATTAGGTAGATGGCCGGGTGCATGTGCATTGTTTAGATGGTAGCAGGATGCTCTATGGGAAGAAGGCAGGCCGGTGGAGTATGTGTTATTTTCTGGGCAATGTTCTGCTTGGGAAACTCTGGCATTCATGTGGATGTTACTTTGATATATACCACTTACCTAGAGATTGTCGCAGACCACATACAACCCTTTATAGCAATGGTGTTTCCTCATGTGACCTCTTTCAGCAGCATAATACACCCTGCCACACTGCAAACATTTTTCAGGAATGGTTTGAGGAACATGACAAAGAGTTCAAGGAGTTGCCTTGGCCTCCAGATTCCCCAGATCTCAATCCAATGGAGCATCTGTGGGATGTGCTGGAACAACAAATCCGATCCATTGATGCGCCCCACCTAACAACTTGCAGGACTTAAAAGCATCTTTTGCTAATGCCTTGGGGCCAGATACCGCAGGACATGTTCAGAGGTCTTGTGGAGTCCATGGCTAGATGCATTAGAGCTGTTTTGGCAGCACAAGGGTGACATACACGAGATAAGGCAGGTGGTTTTAATCTTGTGGCTGATCAGTGTATATAGAAAATGAAAAAGTATTTTGCAGACATAACAATAGGTGGAGCTGTTGCCACTCTACATAGTTAAGTACGGTTTGTGCCTATTACTACAGGTCTCTAGTGATGTATTCAGAGTTTTGACTGTCCTAGACTACTCATGTCTATGCAATCCCGTCTTTACCGCCTATTTAATAGTAAATATTTAGCAAATGATACATAACCCTGTTCAGTTTAGCCACACAATCCAAATGAAGGAGGAGAAATAAAATATTCTTAATTTCCCCTCTTCTCTGTACGCTTTCTCTATGCTGATTGCCAGGTATGAAAAACAGAGCTTACAAAAATGATTGACAGTAAGCGTCCAGTTGTGGATTTCTACATCTAAATTTTATTTCTCTGACCTCATAAATACATATTTTATAAAAATAGATGATAAGTAAACATAACATTTAAATTCCTGGGAAGTGAAAATTTATTTTTGAGGGAAAAGAAAACAGAGAGATTGACATACTTCAGCCAGTGACTTGGGTTTAGATCTAGGAACGATCTTCTTTTTTGATTTCGAAGGAACCTCACAGTCTGGTTCACTTATCTCAGAAGTTCTTTCCTTGTGACCTTGCCCGGTGATCATTACCTGAAATAAAAACAAGCAAAAAAACAAAAAACAAATCCATAAATAAGTAAATAGCAATGAATTTTAAATTTATCCTCCTATCTATATTCATTGAATCATTTCCATTTCTCTCGTATCAGACCCCTTACATTTGGTATGGAAATTAAGCTTTTGCCCAGCGGCTTGAAAAGCATTTATTTTTGGTTGCAATATGGAAGCTTTACCTGTAGATTTTTAATATTTCACAAAAATGACCCGGATCATATAAAGGTAACTGATTAAAAAGCAGTTTTCATATAAAAAGTTTAGAATGCTTGGGCTTTTTTCTTCAAGCAGGAATTGATATAACATTCTCTTGGCTCTAGCACTAGAGTGCATGCACAGGAGTATGTATACATTAAATGAGCAATTAAAGGGATACTATAGCCATTCCTATTGATTTATTGCATCTGTCCCCCTAAACCTGCAAGTGAAAACATTGCAGCTTCAGAGAAATAATTGATTTAATGCTTTTCTATGGCGAAGCATTTATGTGCGTATGGCGCTCGCTGCGCATGCATGTTAGACAGGGTTGGCGCAACTGTTAGGTGAACTAGGCATTCGCCTAGGGCGCCAGCCTGCTGGGGAGGCACCCACCGGGATGTTTCCTGGTGTGCTGACCCTGACTGGGGCCGTAGCCCCGGGCGAGCGGCTCTTGAGCCGCCCCCAGCGCCAGACTGATTCTAAAGGCGCCCGAAGGTGGGGGAGCCGAGAGGAGCCCTGTCATAGGGGGGCCAGGAGGTGGCCACCTGGCCACCTCAGGGTGCCCCCAAAGCTGTGCCAGGTAAGGCAGAGCAGGCACCTGCTTACCTTGATTGCAGGTGCCTGCTCTGCCAACAAATGCCGGTGACTGGAGGAGAGGGGGAAGGAGAAGCCAGGGGGCAAGGTGGGCTGTTCTTACATCCTCTCACTCCTCCCTCACGCACCCTCTGTGATGCCAGGAGCCGAAATATGACAATATTCTGACCCCGGCATAGGACCCCAGGGAGGTAGGGAGGCTGGATGGGCCTTAATAAATATGTGTGTGTCTGTCTGTCAGTGAGTGCCTGCCTATGTGTGTGTCTGTCAGTGAGTGAGTGTATGTCAGTGAGTGTGTGTCTGTCTGTCAGTGAGTGTGTGAGTGTTTGGCGCTCAGTGTGTGTCTGTCAGTGAGTGTCTGCCTGTGTGTGTGTGTCTGTCAGTGAGTGAGTGTATGTCTGTCAGTGAGTGTCTGTGTGAGTGTATGTCTGTCAGTAAGTGTGTGTCTGTGTCAGGAAGGGAGTGTATGTATGTCAGTGAGTGAGTGTGCATCAATAAGTGTGTGTCTGTCAGTGAGTGTGTGTCTGCCAGTGTTTGTTTGTCAGTGAGTGTGTGTCTGCCAGTGTGTGTCTGTCAGTGAGTGAGTGACATGAGGGGCGGCAAAATGGATCTTTGCCTAGGGCAGCAGAAATCCTTGCACCGGCCCTGATGTTAGGTCCTCCACTGGTGTGACGTCACTGGAGAAGATCGATTCAGCAGCGATGGACATCAACACTGGAATTAAAGTAGGTGTTAAAACTTTTTTAAATCTTTTCCTGTTTACGGGGGGGGGCGGGGAGGGAAGGGGGAAGGAAACCTAAAGTTATGGACAGGGACATACTATATAGTATTAGGAATACAGTTTTGTATTTCTAATGCTATAGTTTACCTTTAAGTAACAGAGCAGTATGAAAGCTGAATGATGCACTTAAGTCTTTTTTTTTTCCAAGCCAAATAACAATTTATGAGATACATGAGATATTCCACTGGTTTCAAACTCATTCCTTTCTTTGAAATTCCAAAGCAATCTTACATCCACTTTCTTTGTAAGCCAGAGTTGCTTAAACTTGACAAAAGGTGCAGTTTCCACTACAGTGTGGAAAGGTGTCAATTCCCACAGCAGTAACTAGCGATGGCTATCGGGAACATTCATCGTTTTGTACAGAGGAAAAGTTGGTCTATGGAGAATCTTGCGGTCTAACAGGTGTGAGAGTACAACAGGAATGTAAGTTCTGTGAGGATGAAGGGGCTGGAGCTGTAGTAGGAATATGGCGGCACCCGTGAGGGAGAACATCAGGTAAAAATATTTGCCATCAACCTTATCACCCGGCCACAGCACACTGAGCAGTGTCATCACTTTTGGAGGTCTTTGCAACATACACAAAAACTTATGGTTAATGTGATACATGAAATCATATGCCAAGCAAAAGGGCTCTGTTATAAGGAATTTAAAATGTTCTAATTAAACAATTCTAAGAAACGAGAACATTATTTTAAAGATAAAATGAAAATAAGCAGAGATAACAGACTTTGATAGATGAACTAATAAGGGACGAGAGGGGATCCGGTAGCAATAGGCAGTGGGCGATACCTTCTTAGAGTGAGCATTTAGATTAGAACACCCACGAAGGTGTTTCACAGAGTTTAGGGACTTACTTTGAGGCTTACATACCTAGCATACTAGGAAGGGTGTATACTCCCCTTTTTGCCTCACTATACTTTTCCCTCTACTTCCACCCTTAATAGGGATCACTGCTCCTCAATTATTCTACCAGAAGGTTCAAGCCCTATAACTCTGTCTCTAATATTCTTTAGCCATACTTTCTATATCCATTTTGGATGTTTATACAAAGACTGCAGCCTTATCTCTACCACTCACGAGTTTTTATAGAGGGGATTTAGTATAGAGCCTTCCCCCTTTTTTTCTGTTTTTGGGGGAGGCTCACCTTTGGCTATTTCTACCCTATGACTTAATAAAGATTTTTAATTTTTACCTCTTGATCTAGCCTAATTGGAAATGTAAGGATATTCCGTAGAACAGATATGTTATAATGTTTCCGGACCCTGTTTCTCTTCCCCTCTATTAGATCCCTATACTGGTCATTCTTATTATTTTTGTACGGTTGTCTCATATTTGTCCATTTATTTTTGTCAGCATTTCAAGATCTCCCCAGGCGGAGATCACACTTATTATTTAATAAGGGACGACCCTGACATTCCGGTCAAGCGGTTTATGAGTAGACCAGTTTATGTAGATATCAGCCTTGCGGTTTCAGGAGATTTGGAATGCTACAAAGCAGTTAATGAAGGTGATGGATTTTTTGAGAATCTCCACAAACTGTACAACGCAATGAATCCAATTTCAGTTCGAACAACGCAAATTAAAATATGCATTGGCAATTTCTTTCTGTAGCTTTTGCCCTCGTTCCCTTCTTTAAGACTTTTGTATTTTTCATACTCTAAAAATAATGCATTGAAAAAGTTAAATCAGACACTTGGAAAATCTCTCCAATTTCTGTTCACCTAAGTCTGACTTTCCACTTGTCTCCTTTTTCTATAATCTTTTTTTTTTATGCTTCCAGTTTGATCTCCGGCACATTGTTCAGCTACTTTCACTAATCACTTCTCAGCTTTCAGATGGAAGCTTTTCCATCTTTGTAAAGTACAAAAAAATTCTAGTAGTGTAGGCAGTTAGAGAGGCATTGTCAGTGAAAAATGTATGTATATAACTGAAACACTGCAATCACCTTACCATGCATGTATTATAAAGGTTACTGATGGGGGGAAAGCGATACAACATACAGTATGTTAAAATTGCTGTTGGCTTTTTCTTCTTCTTTTTTTTAATACCTACTTGATTTCAGTAAAATAATGCAGAAACCTACCACACTGTCAAGGTTCTCATTTTTTGTAGGTCCTACTAAATCCCAAATTGATGACTGCTCTTGTTCTACCTTAGAATGGGGAAACCCAGGTTCGAATCCAGACTATGTCACTATGTAAGTGTCCCAACATTTGAGCAGGGCCTTCTTCACCTCTTGTCTCTTAATATTCTACATGTCAATTACTTCTTGTCAAACATCTCCTCTCTATAATTGTAAAGTGCTGTGGAATATGTTGGCGCTATATACATGCTAATAATAGTATAATATAGATCTTTAAATATATAATCGGCCACAACAATTCAAATTGCATCAAATAATAAAAATAGTAAGTTAATGAATATATTATTATTTTCTACATCATTAGACACTTAAAAGGACACTGCAGGCACCTAGACCACTTTATCTCAATTAAGTGGTGTGGGTGCAGTCAGGGCCGGACATCCATTGGCAGCAGTGGTGGGGCCACGGCTCCAATCGGGACTTTTACAGGGGCGGCATTTTGCCACCCCTGTACACTGTGAAGTGACTGCTCTGGAGCCTGGGACGCCTATGCATATTATAGCGATTACCACTACATATATATGCAGTTCTGGGCCCCGCTACCTTGTCCTGTGGAAAGGGGGCCCAGAAGTCTGATGTTCCCCTCCTGCAGCTTCCTGTCATCTCCTCTCGAAACACTGCAAGAGCGTTGCCGCGGGTTCTCCACAGGACACAGCAAAATGTGCTACTGAACCACCATGGAAACTACTCTCCCCCCCCCTGACCACAGGTAAGAGGCAAGGAGGGGGGAATGCACTAAATCATACATTTCAAAAAAATAATCAGCCTTCACTGCATCCACTACACGCAATATACACAGACACTGGATATACTACACACCCTACATGCACTACACAGAGACACTGCATCCACTACACTCACCAGATGCACTACACATAGACACTGCACCCACTACACAAACACTGACAATGCACCCACTACAAAATAAATACAGTATATTATACTTAAAAAAATCACCCCTCACAAGACACTGCATCCACTACACACAGACACTGCATCCACTACACACACTACTTGCATCCAGTACACTTTACACAGTACACACTGCACACTACATTGCTTCAACTACAAAAACACAAACAATGCACCCACTACACAATATTTACTACAAAGAAACTGCATTCACACATACACTGCCTCCACTACCCCCCCCCCCACACACACACACTCTCTGTATCCACTATACACATGCAGAGAATGTTTTCACTATACACACTGCATACAATACACACACTGCATCTCCTGGATGTGTGTGAGTTTTGGGAGGGCGAGGGGCAGCATTACAGGGCTAAAAACAGCTCTAGTGGCGGTCTTCCTGATAGCCTCCATATGGTGCTTCCAGACTATTTCATGTGATCTCCTTTGATGCTTCTCATTTGACTGAGCATTTGAGTGGCGTAGTGCAGTGCTTGCTGTGCATGCGCTGCTCATCCACAATGCTTCTCTAGGATAAGCATAGGATTGGACGAGAAGACGGATCATTTCAATATGCTTGCTGACGAAAGAGAAGGCAGAGCAGGCAGCTGCAACAATGATGTCTCTGCACTGGAAATAAAGTAAATTTTTAATGAAATGGCCAAAACAGCTAAAACACCAAAGGAGTTGCTACAAGCCAATATCCTCCCAATACTAAAACCAAACAAAGATCCAACTGATGTTAAAAATTATAGACCAATCTCTTTAATCAATACAGATATGAAAATATATGCAGCAATACTAACAACTAGATTAAAATCACTTGTTGAGAGAGTCGTTCATTCTGATCAGGTTGGTTTTTTGCCAGGTAGATCTTCTGATACATGCACTAGAAGAATAGTGAATATTTTGGATGGTGCACTCCGTCGGGGGATTCCGCTGCTGACCCTGTCATTGGATGCCGAGAAGGCCTTTGACAGGGTCAGTTGGCGCTTCCTCGACGGGGTGCTGACTTCTTTTGGATTTATAGGTTGGATTCATGATGCCATTTTGGCACTTTACTCCGAACCAACAGCTAGAACTGTAGGTGTAAATATTCAATCAAATTGGTTTAGTCTATATAATGGCACACGCCAGGGCTGTCCCTTATCACCACTTCTTTATATTTTAACCTTAGAACCCCTAGCTATTAACATTAGGAATAATTTGAATATCACAGGTTTTCCAACGAAGAACTCAGAAGCAAAAATATCACTTTATGCTGATGATATATTATTAACACTCAACTCTCCAGAATCCTCTCTTTCCCAAGTTTTATCTGTTATAAAAAGCTATTCTAAGGTATCTAATTATAAACTCAATATATCTAAATCAATTGCTGTAACTACGAATGTCGATATCTAGAACTTAAAAGTTCTCCGTAAGAATTATGACTTTGTATGGACTAATAGTGTTTTTAATTATCTGGGCGTGATAATTTCATCTCAAGTTAACGATATTATGGAAATAAATGTATTGAATCTCCTAAAATACACAAATATAAAATTAAAAGAATGGCGCCTGACCGAATCCTCTTGGATCGGCAGGATTAACATAATTAATGCTTATATTATGCCCAAATGGTCGTATTTATTTAGGATGATTCCTCTTCAAATTCCAGATATCTGGTTAACCATGATACAATCTAGTTTTCAAAAATTCATTTGGAAAACGACGAGGCCTAGAATAAGTTCTAAAGTTCTTTCTAGAAAACCCCACAATGGAGGTATAAACTATCCAAATATTAGAAATTGTTATCACGCTAACATTATTGGTCACATATATAAACTTCAGGTTGAATCGTTTAAAACAGACACATGGTACCTAATTGAATCCGAGGCAGTTGGAAAAGATAGATTAGAAATGTATTTATGGCTTAAAAACAACAAAAAAACTATAGAATTTTTATGTAGTAAATCATTAATTTTGTCACACATTATCAGTGCTTGGGAGAGGATAAAAAAACAAAAAAAAATCTCAGATAAAATAATTAAGTCATCTCATTTGATCATTTTAGAAGATAATATTGAGGATATCTCTTTAAATAAATGGTCTAAATTTCAATGGACGATTGGGGATATCCTCTATGATGACCAAATTTTACCTTTTGCGGATATTCAAGCTAAACTTCTTCTCCCTAACAAAGAATTTTTTTCCTATTTAAGAATTAAAAAATTTTTGAATAAGTTTTTACTAAATACGTCGTCAAAAATTGATATTCTTTTTCAAACTATTTTTAGATATACTAAGGTTAATAAAATTCTTTCAAAAGCTACTAACTTGTTATCCAACCTTGATCAACAACCTTTAAAGATACTTGATAAATAGAAAAATACCTTAAAGAATGAAATAACTGAGCAGGAATGGTGTATGTCTCTTAAAGATACCCGTAAATATATCCATTGTCAGAATTTACTTGAATGTCAATATAAGGTTATGTATAAATGGTATCTGACTCCATATAAATTAAATAAGATGTATCCAGGTCAAATTCCTCATTGCTGGCGTTGTGGTTATCCAGAGGGAACATTCGTTCATATATGGTGGCATTGTAATTTGGTTAAAAATCTATGGGAGTGGTCCTTTGAAATTCTTAAATGCTTATTTAATATTACAATTAAAAAAGGCCCAGATACAGCATTGCTACATCTAAACTGGAAAATTTCTTCCACTTCTTCTAAATGCCTTGCAAATCACTGTTTCCTCGCAGTAAAAATAATAATAGCTAGGCAATGGAAGTCACATCTTCCTTTCTTGAGGAGTCAGCTTGTTAACCAAATTCTATATCAATTTCAAATGGAAAAAGATTTACCAGCTTCCTCTATACTTTCTCTAAATAAACAAGACCAATACACCAATTGGATACAAACTTTAGAAAATAAATGAATTATTTCCTTGTATTTTTTTTTTTTTTTCCCTTATTTGGATTTCGATAGACTTTGATAAAAAAAAAAAACTCATTCCAGGGATATTTTTTCTTAGTTGTTCAGACTGACCCTAGCCCATATTTATATTTATATATTTATATCTACTTCTAGTCAGACAATAGTTCCATAAGATATAAAATACATTGGTATTGTGAGATCCTCAGCTGTTTAGCTTGGATTTACCCAATATATAGGACTAGAATAGCTGTAACAATGTAAATTATATGTTTTTGTTATGTCACACTTGTCTTTGTCTTCTATGTAATTTTCACTATTTCTCAATGTATGATAAAATGAAATAATAAAAAAAAAAAAAAAAAAGGAAATAAAGTAAATGAAAATTGCATTTTGTGGACAGATGTCACAGTAATGGCAGGGAAATTATAGTCCCAAATAAAATGTTACTTTGGGGCCTATAGGTTCCCTTAATGACCAAGGGTTTTGAAAAATTCATTTTTTATCACCATGCATGTCATAAGTTCTTATGGAGGTTAAAAGAACACTCTAGGCTTCATAACCACTTCATTGTGGAAGTGGTTATGGTGCCTAGAAGCTGCTAGTATCATCCCACTGGTTAGTGTCAAACAGATCTTATGAAATTAACATTAGTGTAAACCAGCAATTTATTAAGCCGTCCAGTCATTTAATATTGTGGTTTAGCCTAACCTAAGCAGTTTTCCATTTAACCTCAATATAACTGTTAAAGAATAAAAATAACACTGATCACCAGAGTACGCAGCCGATGAAATATTCTAAACATGCAGAGCTACTGTGATGCTGATAAGAACAAATATTTGTCTGAAGGTTAACACCTTTGCAGCGGGATACCTGCTCTGCAGGTACAACTCATTAGTAACTTCACTACAACAGTCCGGAACATCTGACAACAATGGTAGCCACAACAACATGTCTTGTTAAAGCGTCTTACATAGTATGTAGTGACACTCTCATAATTCAAGATGACAGTGAGTGGCCTTAGGGCAGATTTTTAGCACTCCTTCAGTAGCATGTTGGAAGCACCTGTATCCCTGGTTACATAGTACCTGAAACGGAATTCAAAACAGTTTAATGCCACATTCAAACTGATGGATTGAGGCAGATTATGCTATGACATTCTAAATGATCACAGTTGTTAAATCTTATGGCAAACTCTGTGACATTCTGTTATATACACCTGAAACGAAGTGGCATTTTCAGAGACAGGCACAGCTAGTTTATTTTTTACAAATATATCAAATGGAACAGATCTCATAACTGTACTGAATTTTGACTGCCTGCACCATAATCTTACCAATTACAATTTCAAACTCCAAAGTATATGAAACTTTTTTTTTTTGTCGAAGAAACTGTCATAGTGCCTACAGTGTCCCTTTAAATTATATCTTCCAAACATTTTGCTGCACAAGAACATGTCTGCATTTGCTCTGCAAAGGGCACTGTTAAGAGGTTGGCTTGTAATAAGGTATTCTTACAAAGTTTTGAAGTACTGCCACTTCGTTATTAATAAAGCAGGTATTTAAATTTAGAAAGGTGGGGCAGAGCTTGCCCAGCATGGCGAGTGGTCGCACATTGCAGGAGCTCTGGGAGAATCTCTGATTATATTTGCCTTTTTGACGGCTCTCGCACCTCAAAATCAGCCGTAAATCGCCCCTTTGTACTCACAGCTCACCCAGGGCTCAAACTCTCACACACTGCTTTCCCGGCTGGACAACCCACCGTGGCAATTTTGCAGCCTAGTTGTGGCCTGACTGCATGGGAGTGGGGGAGGTGGCCAATCCCTCAACCCACGTTCCAGTTGGACCCACGGTGGATAGCCATGTTCTCCCCCTGCCGGTGAGGGTTATCCCAGTACTCTCAGCTACCTGCCTGCATCTGAGACTGACCCAGGAGCACCCTGCCAAAACCTGTGTGTCTGGCTTCTGCCTCCAAAATGGCGCCAGAGCACGACCCTGTAAAACATCCCGGGCCTAGTATCGACTTTATGATAGCATTTGACCAAATATGTGAGGCATTTTGGGAGCGACTGCGGCAACAAGCAGAACGTGTCCAGAGCCTTACAGGCGCTGATCCAGCCGAGAATTACAGCCACACTCCTACCTATCCTCCGCTGGGACTCCCGAGGGGCCCACGGAAGTCGGGTTTCTCTGAGCGGCAATTGAGAGCTCTGGTTCCCATGAAGAGCTGCAGTGTCGGGAGTGGGAATCCTCACCACGCTGGACGCATACGCGCCCGGCAGAGGCGAAGAGTAAAGCATAGTTTTGTCGAGAAGTGCCGGGATCTTCCTCCGCCTCACTCTGACCCCATGGGAGCACAGGGACCTCTACTGGACCACGCTGGGTTCCACACACCGACATCAATGCAGAGCCCTGACAGGCAGTTTCTCCAGCACGCATGGAAGCGATACCCAGGGGAGGGCTGGCAGCCTTAGGCCTGGAGGGCAAAACCAGTCAAGTGGCCCATTGCACCACCAAATCAGTTCACCATCCATGCCCACCTTTTCCTGGTTTTATAACGGATATTGATGTTATGCTAATCAGTAGCTCTTTGCCATACCCGCTCCTTCACGGCTCCAGGCACTGCTTGTTGTGAGTGTGAGCCACTGTAAATTAGGGGCAGAGGGCACTTGCACTGCGGTAAAGATGGGGCTGGGCAGGAGGAGAGTGCAGTGCAATCAGTGCACTCCCCTCCTGTGGGTCACCAGTAGACTGGTGCACCTGCCCAGGATCAGAGCCGGTGCAAGGATTTTTGCCGCCCTAGACAAAATAAAAATTTGCTGCCCCCCCATGTAACATCACAATGCCCCACCCATATGAACTAACGCCAGTGCTGCACACAGTGTGTGTTTACATTAAAAAGGCTGCAGGGACCAGCTATAGACACCAGAACCACTTCATTAAGCTATAGTGTCCCTTTAATGTGAGGTACATTATAGATTAGTGTCACTAATAATATACTAGATTGCCTACTTACAAGCAGATGAGGATGATGATGGGCTGCAGTTTGGCTCCACTGGTCTGGTGTAGAACAGGATCTCTGGAGGCTGTTTGCAACTGTGGTCACAAAATTCAATGTTCTGGGAGAATTGGAAGCAGCTCCATTTTTCTGGGGCCCCTTACACAGCTCAAGGTCTGGGCCCCAGGGCCTGACGGTGAGTATGCCCATAAGGCCCACTCATAAATTCCACCCACCCATGAGTTCGCTCACAGGGAGTGGAGTGTGTAGGGGATGTGTTATGTGTTATTGTAGAGGATCTAATATGTGTGCTTATGGTATGTAGTGTATAGGGTTACCAGTTTGTGCAGGTGATGTAGTGTGTTTGTGTGTAGTGGAAGCAGTGTGTATTTGTGTATAAGGGATGTATTATGTGTTTCTGGTTGTGTGTAAGGGATGCATTGTGTGAATCTGTGTTTGTATGCATAAGGGATGCAAAGTGTGTGTCTGTATGTGTGTGCATGAGATGCATTGTGTTTCTGTGTGTATGTAAGAAAAGAAGTGTGTGTGTTTGCATGCGTGTGTATGGGTTTGCATTGTCTGTTTCTGTGTATGTGTGCAAAGGATGCATTGTCTTTGTGTGTAAGGGTTGCATTGTGTGTGTTTCTCTGTGTGTAAGGGAAGCATGTTGTGTTTCTGTGTATGTATAGGGATGCATTGTGTGTGTGTGCGCGTAGTGTGAAAGAGCTCCCTGTCTTGGCCCCTGTCCTATAGAGCTGCCCCTTCTGTCCCGTAGAGCTCTCCCCTGCACCTTTAGTGGTCTCTCCTCTCCCCCACCCTCCCCTAGCGGTCTCTTCTCACACTCACCCACCCTCCCTGTGCTCTTCTCATCCCCCCTCCACCCTCCCTGTGTTCTTCTCCCTCCTCCCTCTATGTGTTCTCCTCACACCCCCTGTGTTCGTCTTACCCCCCTCCTCCCTGTGTTCTTCATACTTCCCCCCTTGGTCGTCTTACTCCCCCACCTGTTCTTCTTAACCCCCCTTCTTCTTATTGCTCCCCCTTCTTCTTCTTACCCCCCCTTCTTCTTCTTCCTCTTCCTCCCCCTTCTTCTTCTTACTCCCCCCATTTCTTCATACTCACCCTTCTTCTTACCCCCTCTTCTTCTTCTTACTCCCCACTCTTCTTCTTCTTACTCCCCACTCTTTTTCTTACTCACCCCTTCTTCTTCTTCTTACCCCCCTCTTTCTTATCTCCCCTCCTTCTTACTCCGCCCTCCCCTCCTTCTTACTCCGCCCTCCCCCTTTTCTTATTCCACCTCTCCCTCTTCTTACTCCCCCCTCTTTTTCTTACTCCCTCCTCTTCTTCTTCTTACTCCCCCATCTTTTTCTTACTCACCCCTTCTTTTTCTTACCCCCTCTTTTTCTTATCTCCCCTCTTCTTATTCCCCTCCCTCCCCTCTTCTTATTCCCCCTATCCCCTCTTTTTATTCCCCTCCTCCCCTCTTCTTATTCCCCTCCCTCCCCTCTTCTTATTCCCCCTCCCCTCTTCTTATCCCCCCTCCCCTCTTCTTATACCCCTCCCCTCTTTTTATTCCCCCCCTTCTCTTTTTATTCCCCCCCTCCCCTCTATTCTCCCCCCCTCCTCCCTCTCTTTTTATCCCCCTCTTCTTATTCCCCTCCTCTTCTTATCCCCCTCCCCTCTTGCTGTTCCCCTCTCTTTATTCCCCCCCTCCCCTCTGTCTTCTCCCCCCTCCTCCCTCTCTTTTTTATCCCCTCTTATTCCCCTCCCTCTTCTCCCCCCTCCCCTCTTTTTATTCCCCCCCTCTTCTCTTTTTATTCCCCCCTCCCCTCTATTCTCTCCCCCTCCTCCCTCTATTCTCTCCCCCTCCTCCCTCTCTTCTTATCCCCCCTCCCTTCTTTTTATTCCCCCCCTCCCCTCTATTCCCCTCCCCTCTTCTTACCCCCCCTCCTCCCTCTCTTCTTACCCCCTCCCCTGTAGCGTGGCCGAGCTGCATTCCGGTCCGCGGTGGCCGGCCGGCCGGAGTGATAGGAAGGGGCACACTGAGTGTGCACCTTCCTGTCAGTCCGACCGGGTACAGGAAACAGAAACTCCTGTTCCGCGCGGAACAGGAGTTTCTGTTTCCTGTACCCAGTCGGACTGACAGGAAGGTGCACACTCAGTGTGCACCTTCCTATCACTCCGGCCGGCCGGCCACCGCGGACCGGAGTGCAGCTCGGCCACGCTACAGGGGAGAAGCTGCAGCCGCCTGAGGCTCTTAACAGAGCGCTCAGGCGGCTGCAGTATTTAAAGGGCCGGCCCGTCGCGGCCGGCCTTACAGGAATTTAGGGCGGCCTGGGGGGCAATTGCCTCCCTGCCCCCCGGCCCAGCCCGCCCCTGGCGATACCTACCTACAGCACCTGGCAATTCTGCCTCAAGAAGGGGCATTGGCTGACTGCCTTACCTAACACAGAGACTCCAACTCATACAACCTCCTCTGGGATTTCCAACCTAAGTTTAAAGTCTTTGGAGCCCATCTCCCCTTACTCTTATACTGTGTGTGTTATACTTACTCTTGTCATAAAAAAAAGAAAAAAGAAAACGTGCAGTTTATTTCATGATTTTCTTTGAATGTTATATTTATGTACCTTGATTACTTTATAGTTACCACACTGATGTCCTTACTTCACCTATGCACGTCAAAAATAAAGAATTGGAAAATTATAATAAAAAAAATAATTTAGAAAGGCTAAAAAAATAAGATAAAATATCTACGCAGGATGTGACACCTATAATTATTAATTAATTATACAGACATACAGACAATGCAAATTACTAAAAACAAACAATAAAAAAAAAAAATCATACCCCGTTTTGATATTCTTGGCAACTTTTTGTTTGCCAATGCGGGGCATCACTATATTTTCAATGTAATTGTTGAACATGTCACAGCTACCACCAAGTTACTAACAGTTCTATTTATGTGTTTATAGATGCAGAGATTTCTGAATTTTTTTTTTTATATAGCGCCAGCAAATTCCGTAGCGCTGTACAATGGGTGGACTAACAGACACATAAAATTAACCAGACAAGTTGGACGCATAGGAACAGAGGGATTATACTAGAGATATAAGCCAATGACAGAATACCTCCTTGTATCATAATATAACAATGATATGCAATATGACTCAAGTTATTTCATGAATGAAACTACTAACAACTGATGCTTCTACTGAAAACAAAGAGAGGACATAGATTGGCTGACAAATTTTAGCCAGATACTTGTGCCTGAAGAAAGTACACATTTGCAGAAATTATTAAAAAAAAAAAATTCAAGTTTTTCCACATCATTTATACATGCTTACAATGAATTCAAGTTGGTGGTGAGCCCCAACCTGTGTCTCTTTAACAAAAAGATAATATATTTGTAGAGAAATTTAATGTTTCTTTTTAAATCGTAAATGTTCACTTTTTTGAAACATTTGAAGAAATTACAACTACTTAGCACACGTTAACTAGACTTACTAAAATCCCCACAGTATTGTTAATATTGGATAAACATTTTAATAATGTAACAGGAATGTGCATCAAATTAGATTAAATATGATTTCCATCATTTAGCGGTATCCCAGAGCATGAGGACTAATGGAAGGGTTGTGCTTGTAGGAGATGTATTAAAGGTGATAATACATTTAATTTATTGCTGAGGGACAGAGTACAGATTACATTCTCCCATCAATCTGCGATATATTTATATGATGAGAAACAGTGCATTCAATCCCTTATGAAGAATCCAAGCAGACAATACCCTCTGTGCTGTTAGAGACATAGGGGAAGCATTAGCCTGAAAAGCAATAGGTGGCAGTGATTGGCCGATGAGTATAAGCTGACCTCTTTTAGCCTATCACAGCACCCATTTCTGGTTTGAATTGGTATGGCTAGAAGGAAGTGTGTAATCTCTGTCTTTTGTAGGGGTCAGGCCAGGACCCTTACTTAGTGTTAAATGGTTTGAATATGGTTTAACACTGAATGGAGGGATAGCGCCAAAGAGCTCTGGGCTCTAAAACCAATTCAAATAGATGAAGTTGTTATAGTACCTACAGTGTCCCTTTAAATTATATCTTCCAAATAATTCAGTACACGGTTTCACCGTGTGAGGTAAACCACTGTACTGCGCTCTCAAATGAACCTTATCTTTATTATTAATAGTGCTATAAAGGTGTTGCATTCTTAGATTATCACTGTTACAGAGGCTATATTATTGCAAACAAAACGCAAGCCCACGTGGCATTCGCTGCAATGTGTGAGTATGTGTAAGCAAACTTCGAGCTTTATGGAGTAATAACTTCACACCAGACACAAGAGTGACACAGGAAGATTTTTACTTCTTCTACTGTACTTCTCAATAAGAGCATCATTAGCCGTCACTGGGTTGAATGAATGAGGGACTGTCATGTCCAAAATTAAAATGTTGCTTTAAAGGATTGAGCCAAACACCATAACCACTACTTTGTAGTACTTAGCGTGCTAGAGCGCACTGCAGCCCCTTATTGTAAGTAAACAACATTTTTAGGAATCTTTTGACTGCCAAGTGTTTGATAAGCACCACTCGATACTTCTCTCTAAGCTCCAGGAAACATAAGAAGTCAAACACTTCCAGAACAGTTTAACTACTTGCAAAAGCTTGCTGTAGTGATTATGGTACTTAGAGGGTTTCTTATTGATGTGCTTTAGGAATTAACTATGTCTCCTCTGGCAATCTCTTTTTTCTAAGCGCTTTTTTCTCTTGATAAATTTACTTTTACAAATTGCCTTCGCAACACCTCCCATCTTTAAAGCAGACAGCCTGGAGCAGGCTTCCCCAAACTCCGGCCCTCCAGATGTTGCTGAACTACAACAAATAGGCTGAGAATCATGGGAGTTGTAGTTCAGGAACATCTGGAGGGCCAGAGTTTGGGGAAGCCTGGTCTGGAGGATTTCCTGGATCCCTTGAACTGTAGCTGAACTGTTGATTTCAATGCTTTTTAGGAAAAAAAAAATTACTGTTAGCAGACCGCCACACGTGTCATGAGTCCCAATGTGCCTCTATGAGAAGCATCTGTATGGATATCAATCATCAGTAATGGTGGTTTACAGAAGACGGCTCAGAGTTTGTGTGAGTAGGAGACTCTACCAGTGCTGGAATAATGGCAAGGGTAGTTTAATGTTAACCCTTTCAATGCTGAAACCCGAATGGGGCTGGCAATCTACACAGTTCAAGGAACTCCCCATTAGTATATATTATTTTTTAATAGTGTTTTCCTTTAATGTTCTTGCCAGGTTATGCACAAGCTTGTTAAGTTAAAAAACAAAACAAAAACCCAACACATTAAAATCCATTGTGCAAGCATAATGATTTGCAAATATAGAATTTGAGAGAAAAAAAAAAAAAACTATTTAAAGCTGATTTGTCACTGTTCAGTATTTCATAAAGATATACTGTATTCGATATGAAATACTGATCAAAACTGCATTGGAATTTCAAATGGAAATTTAAATGCATTCAAAGATCCCATAAGACAAATAAGGAACTACTATGTATTTTGGACAATGGACCTGCCACTCTGTGTAAAGACTTCTGAAAGTAACAGATCCGTTTAAAAATAGTTCCCTTTTCCACCTGTCAATCAAATCTTCGGTATAGATAGAGCATAGACCATTACACCAAAGAAATGAATAACAAGGAGAGAAGAATAACTCTCCTACAGGCCCTCATCCTGCTCTTCAGCATAGTAACCACGGTGCATGCTGTTTAAATGGCATGATTACTTTCTAGTCAGAGCCTCTAATGTCAGCAAGGGAACTGAGTGACAGATGTCAGTCTGTTTAGCAACTGACGCGCTGGCAATATATGTCCCAATGAGCTGCAAACATGGCGTCTCAGAACCAGAAGAATTGTACAATCGAATAACTTTACATTGAATATATCATGTATCTCTACGATGAATGATGGATACAGTCTGTCTGTGCCTAGGGGGTGCATTCCGGTTAAAGAGAAGCAGTCATGATAAGTTCACTTTAAACCAAAATTAGGTATGGTGACCCACTATGGGAGAGCAGGTAACTGCATCGATATTTATTAGTTTCTGGAATAGATTTAGGAAACACGGGTATCACAAGGTCTGGGTAATTCAGGTTTTTAGCCACTTCCGATGGACATTGTTCTTCAGCACATAATAGCAATTTGATAGATTTATATTACAAGGCCTGGAGATAATCCATCCATGTCTGCATGGGGCATAAAATAATAACTTCCGAATGTGAAAAACATCTCAAACCAAGAAAAAAAAAAAAAAGACTATCAGTAAAATTAGCATAATATAATTACATCATTTTAAAAACAGTAGCTGCACAGTTTGCTACAAAAATGAGCATTAGACATGTGGAAAAAAAGACACTTTTCTCTTTTTTCCCAAGGGCAATCGCAAGAATAATAAATATGGAGAAATCTGCCATGAGTGAGTAGGTTTAAGCACTAAATTATGGATTATAAGGAATTAAAGGAATACTACCTATAACTAAAGAACACCTAAAGCGCTCTAGCTTGCTGAAATGCTTTATGTGTGAAGAGTGTGTCCCTTTGTTTATTTTAGAAAAAGTATAGATTTCAATAGAAATGACAATTTTATAAAATAAACTGTTATTTCCTGGTTTTGTTAGCTCAGTGGAGCTAGACTCAAGAGGCAAGAAATTGCCCAGAGAACCTGCCTTGCAAAGACTTATCATTGGGCTGCATTGGGAAGGCTGTGATTGGACAGCCACAGAAACTCTGGGCGGGTCTGGAAGGGGATGGCTTGCAAAGGCTGCAGACAACAAAATGTAAAGCTTTTGCAAGCTGTCTTTAGATAAACCCCCAATGGAAAAATGCATAACTAAATGCATGTATGTTATCATTGGGGGTATTTATACTAAAAAGTGATTTGCGGTGTGTACATTTAAAAAATACATATATTTATTTTCAAGTCAGGAGTGTTAATTTTTGTTTAGATTACAGCAACACCTTTTGTTTAAAAAAAAAAAAAAAAGTTGCAAAACACAATTAAAGGGAAACTATAGGCTAGGAATACAAACTTGTATTTCTAGCCTATAGTGCCCCCTTTGTTCGCATGCCACCCCGCAGCGCAGAAAGGGTTAAAAACCATTTTGTCACTTACCTGAATCCAGCGCAGATGTACCACGGTGCTGGGTCAGGCTCTGCCTTTGCTCCTCCTCCCCCAACTTTAAGGATCTAATGTGCATGCGTAGTGAGTGCAGTGGTCACATTAGGACAACTCAATAAGAAAACTCTGAATCAATCCTTTCCTACAGGGTTTTAGCTGACACTGAATGTCCTCATGCAGAGCTTGGGGACGTCTAGCATCAGTTAGGCTACCAAAAGTCGCTTAACAACCTGTAAGCACCTCTAGTGGCTTTCTGGTAGAGTTAACCCTGCAATGTAATTATTGCAGATTATCAATAACTAATTATCATTGCAGGGTTAAACTGACAGGGCCAATGCACCCAGACCACTTCCATGAACTGAAGTGATCAGGGTGCCTATAGTGTCCCTTTAAGATTACCTGTAATCAATCATGGAGGAAGTCTGTGCTTTGCAGCCCAATCTTATTTATTTTTTATTTTTTCAACTTTTATTGGAGTTTGAGTCAATCATCATGAGGCAGTTGTACAAGACATGTTAATATTGTTTGACAGCAGTATGAAGAATTCACAATGACGTAGTTTACAACAACGTTTTCATAACCGTTGTATTAACATACACAAGATGTCTCGATGACAATGTCACTCCAATGTTTTTTTTTTTTCCTCCATGCCCCACGACAGTCGGCTGTTTCAGTATACATTAAAAATATAATTGAAAAGATAGACCATAAACACTATTTTGTAAACAGAAAAACCTGCAATTCAATAGGATTGTCCTAAGGACTTCGGTACGAGATTCCCTCTGCATGTCTCCCGTGGCTTCGTCAGCGCAGAAGTGGGACATTTGAGTTTACGTAATTCTTTGGGGTGATAGTCTACAGACATGTCTATTGTAAATCTGGATAAAAATAAGAGCATATCTGCATTTTGTATGCATATTCACTTTTTTTTTAAATTCTTTATTTTTGGTTGTGCAGGAGTATACAGGGTAACCCGCAATGCCACGACAGCAATTGCCGGTATATGTCAAATACACAACGAAACAGTGAACATTACAACAGATGTAATTAGCGATAACATTACGTTTCAATGCGAGTAAACAGCACGGTATTTTGTGAAAAAGGTTTAGTAGCAAAACGGCGCAATTTCAATTATAGAAATAATTTTTTCAAAAAGGAGAAGTAGCCAGCAGAGAGACAAAGTGACATAAGGTAAGAGTTTGGATACACTGACTGACTATACGAGGTTAAGTAATAGTGGTTAGGTTACATGCTAAGCAAGATGGGGTTTGATCAGTGGAAATAATAGATGTTAAGTTACACACTAGGCAAAACAAGTTTATTTTAATTTTAATGGTCCCGCTCCCTACCAAGTTGTGGACCCTTGTGGTGGCTAGCTAGTAGGCCCAAGGTTAATACAGGGCGAGGGCCCGTGAGTATGACAACTGTGGTGCAGGATAGATAGGACAGAGAATCCTTGAGGATCAGTTAGCTAAATCGAGTAACTTGTTATGGTGTCTCAAGATTTTGAGTGAGGCAGCTCCGCCAACTGTTTTGTATGTGGGTCAAGAAGATTGGAGCGGGGGGGGGGTGATGGGGAGGATGGACGTAATCAAGGGAGATAATTGGGTCTCAGTTCACCCAGTGTCGACCAGTATGGTCGTTCAGCCATATGTAGTATAGGGAGGAGAGTGAGCCCTAAGTGTAGCACAACTTTTTTAACTAAACTAAGGCATGGAAATAAAATGTAGATAACTTAAAAGGAAGAGAAAGGGTACAAGTCCCAACAGCGATGTTGCCATTTTCAAGTGGCAGGTGCGCCCGCTGTTCCTCAGCCCAATCATTTTATGGTGAGATAATTAATTATGATTAAATCAGATGCCTCTCACTGATAAGCATTGAGGACACATGAAAAATACTTGGCAATCCTCAATCCCATGCTTCTTAATGAGAAGCACTGAATACAATGTAATCCAATGCATGGAAAGTTCAGCATTGTCATACTGTATGTTATGAAATCTTTTGTCTTTTAAAAAACAAATAATGTAAAGTGGAAGTGTCAGGGATCCGCGGGCTGCTAGGAGGGGAGGCTGCACGCCACTTGCAGCACTCACCCTCAGTCCGTCGCCGCCCGCGGTCTCCCCTCGTCTCACCTGTCGGCGAGCGGCGTCTCCTCTCTGCCGCTCGCGTCCTCCACGCCCCCCAGCGGCAGCATGTATAACGCTGCACGCTGGGAGGACACTAAATTATGCAAACGCCGGGGTCACGTGAGTGACCCGGCGTTAAAGAAACGGTACCACAATCACAGTGGGAGGTATAGATATCCCCCACGTGTGATTGTTAATTCTGATTGGAAGTTATCCAATCAGAATTAAACCAAGGGTATTTATACTTACCTTTCCTGTCCCTCAGTGCCCTGTTGTGGTCTTGTGATACCTGTAGTGCTGTTCTCTCGTGTTGCTCTCTGGTTTCCGATTATTTGGCTCGTTATTCCGATTATCCTGTCTTCTCCACTCCTTTGACCTCGGCTTGTTTCTCGTTCTCCCGTTTTCTGGCTCCCTTTACTTGGCTTGTCTCCTGACCATTCTTAGCCCGGCCACTCTAAGGACCGGTATAGCACCCTTCCTCTCTGTGACCTGTTAGTGTGTTAGTTCCGGAATCGTGACAGGAAGTGCATCCAGTGGCAGTTTGACAGCCACTAGAGGCCTGTTTTTGGCTTACAGCTGCCAGGTTAAACTCAGGCAGGGAATTCCTGGCTTCCCTGTAGGCTGTAGTATTGGTGGGGAGCTATATCCGATGGACCCCAAGTACGAAGTCTAACCAGTCTAGATTTATGTAACTACTTACATGGGGGCGATGCTAAACCAACCATGGTGGTTATGGTGATGTCAGTGTTCCTTTAATATTGAGCAGCTTTTGTGCATAGACGATTCCATTAATAAGGCAACGCATTTCATGCCAAAATATCTGATGTGAAGAAGCTGTAGACTTTTCAAGTGTGGCTACTAAGGCCAACATTTTCAGTGTAGTTTTACAATTTGCCATATTTCCCAGTTTATCCACTAAATGTTGATGAGCTGAAGGTTGAATTGCAAACTTCAGACCGCAATAGTTAATTTGGAGAAAAACAAATCCCCTCACTGTCTTAGTTTGGCTATTTAGCCTAAATCCCAGTTCAGATTGCAGTTTATTGCAATTTGGTGTTAAATGAATAATTTAGAATATTTTATCCAATAAGCCTGCTAGTTTAGCTTTAATATTGAAATTAGGTATTACGTTTACCACATTGCACTGTCTCTGTTTGTTAAATTATCCAATGCACAGAATATGGGCTATGCAGCAGAGATTCCCAGCACTATAGCAGGAGATGGGATTGTTTATTCACTGAATTACAAAGCTATGAATACATTTAGACTAAAATAGCCAAACTCAAAAAATGAATGAATTCCAGAATATTTACAGTGCAACTATTTTGGTCTGACATTCCAAATCAATTTCAGTTCACCGCAATTCACTATTTAGTGAATAAAGCCCACAAAGAGACCCATATATGAGAGGAACAACATTATGCCCATGAATTAAAAAACAAACCAAAAAAAAACAAAACACTTTAAGATAAGTGATTTTATTCTAAACTAAGCCTAAAATTCCCTCAAAACAAGAATTTACCCAAATGTGTTTTTTTTTTTTTTTACTACGTGTGTCCTACAGAGGGATAGATCACACTTTATTTATGGTTGCAGAATAGACTGTTTGCTAAACTAATAAAACGATTGTGTAATTATGTATAGCTTATTCATTTACCAACAATCCATGTTTGTAAACAACTCCATGAAGCTTATCAATATTTGTGAATACGATCAGCAGTATGACCCATATTAACCCCTTAAAAATGAAAATCACACCTACGCGGTCAATGCTATTTATATTGGCTATACTGTACTGTACAACACTACTATGTATGTAGGCGCCTCAGGAATAAAATATAAGAAATACTTAACAAAACATACCTTTTTCCTCTTTGACAGCCATGGCAGGAAGACATAGACACATAGCAGCCCTGCAGAGATGATGCCAATCACAGTGCCCAGGACCACCGCTGTGGCTAGCAAACCAGGGACTATCTGGACTGACTCTACACTGTACTGCAGCACAATGTCAGAGTTACAAAGGCTAGCAGAACTGGCCATGGCTGGGCTGCCACACAGGCCTTGGGATACTTTGTATCTCAGCACAGAACGTGCACTGCAGGAGCATCAAGCATTGTTTACACGGGCTGATACATTGTTGTAATGCACAGCTCTCGGGCAGTCGTTTTTCTAAATTCCTCAACAAGTGAAGAGTTCCCATGGAGAAGCACTACAGCTCCCACAATGCAAAGAGAGGGGGGAGAGCAGGAAGGGAGGGGAGGCTCATGTTACTTGGCCAAATTCACCAATCTGAGAGGTAATCCAGAGCTGGGAGGCTGGCTCACACATTCCTAAAAGTAGGCTTTTTTTGTTAATGTGCATTGCCCCTCTGCTTCCTATCCTGGAAGTTAACTGGTTCCCTGTCCCACTGCAAAATCTGTTCATTAAAGCAGCATCGCTGAGCTATGACCCCTAAAAACTTCATGCAACTTATAAGAGAGAGTCAAAGGGGCGAAGGACTGGTGGATTGTCAATAAAGGACCCCCTAGGACTGATACAGCCCTTTTGATGTACAGCTAGAGAAATGGCATTTTGGATGGAATCTCATTGTTACTGGCACAGAGGATCCCATTGCCTTGGACAGGCTCTGTATATAACCTTTTTAATTTTACTATGTGCTCAGCCATACAGTGTGTCCATGCAAAGTATTAACACTTTCACTACAGACCTGTGTGCTGAACCCCAGCTGTCCATGGGGGGCTATCCATATAATGATAAATGTGGTCACAGAGCTAAATCCACAGACGAGTTCGGATTTTGTCTAAACCAGATGTATGAGACTCTACCTGCAAGATTCCCCTCTCCATACACCAAGATGGGCTGCCATTCAGACACATGTGACAAACTAATTGAGGTAAGGGTCAAATTAATTCACTCGGAGAAGAACTATAAATCTGAATCTAAGTGCTATATTCTAAGGGTTAATGTGATTTTTATCCTTGCCAGAAGGTGTTAAGTCAAAAGTTTTATGGAATAGATTCAAATGAAATAGTTGTGTATATAAGTATTATCACTTAAATAATTATAATTAATCTTAGACTGATAAATTCAGTGGTTGGAGCCCAGGTTCGATCTCCAGGGTTGTAGGTTATTTTTCAATAAGGGCAAGTCAGGTATTTATGCTTCTGAGGTCAATAAGATGAGTACCATTGGGTTTGGTAACAATATCCATATCCTAGCTAACTGCACAGTATCTACAGCTCTCAATGTAGGAACTGGACACCAGTTAAGAAGTCAAACTGTTAGCAAATAGTTTGACTACTTTCCAATAGTTTGGCTCTCCTGTTACCATAAACACTACAGTGTACTCTGGTGGTTCTATATAGTGCTTAAAGTGTTCCAATACACATGCAAAGCTGCTGTTGCATATTGTTCTTAAAAAAAACTCTCTACATTTTTTTTCAATCGTTTAGTAGATATGCCCCCCAGATAATTACAGCAACTACTGTAGGCAAGGGATAGGACGATCATCGGTTCTGACAATGACATCTTTTACATCTGGAAACTCCAGCCAATGAGGCACTACATTGCAACCAAATAATAATAATAATATTATTATTATTATTACTGGTATTTATATAGCACCAGCATATTCAGTAGCGCTTTACAATATTATTAAAGGGGGAGATTTAACAATAAATGAAACAATTACAAAAACTTACAGTAACAATAGGTTGAAGAGGAGCCTGCTCAAACAAGCTTACAGTCTATAGGAGGTGGGGTATAAAACACAACTGGACAGGAGGTAGCAATCAAATTCACTTGTCCCTGAGAGTCCCTGCATGCAAAGCTCAGCTGAAGGCATTTAGGTGAGACCGTGAATAATCTACGGTAATGTACTGGGCTAGCTGACTGAGAGTGCGATTGCTGATCTCGTTGATCCCAGTATGGCTTGGCTGCCTGAGAGTGATAAGAATATGATTGCTGTCAGCATGTTCAGTTGATGCCAGATTTGTGTAGAAGATGTGTTGCTTGTTGAAAACATTTAAATGTACAGAATATCATCATAAGTTATCAGAAGGTGACCAGTAATCTGTATCGACATCGACTCTGGAAAAATAATATTGGTCGATCCCTGCTGTGGGCCTTCCTCTTTTTTTGCTCAGCAGAGGCAGGAAAGTATGTCCATAAAGAAATTTCAGGCTTGTCTTTGAGTATCCTTACAACAAATAGTGGATGTGTAGAGCTGGTGAATAGTACACAACTTAAGGAACACTCTGAGCACAATAACAACTTAATTTTGATAGAGTTGTTTTGGTGCCAGGAAGTCCCTGGCTCTGACTCACTTTAACCCCTTAAGGACACATGACATGTGTGACATGTCATGATTCCCTCTTATTCCAGAAGTTTGGTCCTTAAGGGGTTAAGGGGGGAGTCTGTGCTCCAACGCCAAATCTCCCTTCCTTTCTGCCGTTCTGTTTTCTAAAATTCTTTAAAATGGAAGGCACTTCCAGAATTGGATAGCGGTGCTGCTGATTGTCTGAGAGCTTTCAGTTAATGCTCTCAGCCAAGCAGTGAATCCCCATTCCTAAAACTGGCTTGCAAAATGTAAGTTCGAGAATGGTTCAACCCCTTAAGTTGAGCCAGGGCCAGGAACCTCCTGGCATCATAACAACTTAATGTTGATAAAGTTGTTATGGTGCCTAAACTGTCCCTTTTAGTGAGCTGTATCAGAGATTTAGCAGCATAAAACTTCTGTGTCGAACTGTAGCTTAAAGCAAGCAATAAACGAAAGTCTCTTGGGCATCTGATTTATTTAATTTTTTTTTAAAATATATATTTCTCTTTATATTGATGATTTTGTAAAATAAGTGTTGAGGAACAGGCAACTCTACCCTAAAGACTTCAGTAAGTTGATGTGCTTGACGTGTTCCTTGGAGTCATTTAGATGTTTGCAGTATTGTCTTTTTAATTATGTGCAAATCTGTCTTATTTTCTTGGCACATGCCAGTTCTACATGCCAATAGACAGTACTATAAAAGAGCTGCCATTCTCTCTGCCATGGGTTGCAAAACACAATTCCACACCAAATCCTCTTTAACTGCCCTCAGGACTCTGGTACCAGTTATCTCAGGTATCCCAACTCCTGGAAGGGCAAAATATTAAATCGTTCCCCATTCTGCAAGAGACATGGCATGTCCCTAACCACACTATATTCTCATATCTACAAATCAAGAGTATACTTACCTCACAGATAACTCTTCTGACTCCCACGCTAAATGCTCTGTTTCCCCTAAACTAATACTAGAGAGATGCTGAGCATCCCCTAATAAACCGAATACGCTTTCCTTGTGTTATAAAGCCTGGTTGGAGCTACTACCTAGTAAATGGGAGGCAAATCACAGAGGGAATCTGACTGTGACATGCCACTGACTGACAACGATTGGCTACATGCCCTCAATGACCTTTCCAAATGGACAAGATATTTCTCCCATATAGAGACTTACGGCACGCTTCTTTATCGATGGTATTTGACTCCGCATAGATTACAACATATGTCCCCTAATACTTCCCCTGTGTGCTGGAAATGTGCTTCAGATAGGGAGACCCTTATGCAAATCTGTTGGTCATGTGGTGGTATCTGGCCACTTTTGGGATGATGTCCACATCATCCTGAGGACACTTGGAATCTCCGCTTTCCCCATGATGGCATCTGGTTGTTTGCTCCCGCTATTCCCCCCCAACTATAGAACGTAGGCACAGACAGCTAACTGCTATCAATTTGCAAGCATCTCACAATCTCATAGCTTTCAGCTGGATGTCTGTTAAATGTCTCTCCTCTTTCCAACTTAGGGATACAATACAGCAATTTTACACATATGAGCGCATGTCGGTCTCCTCTAGTAACAAAACACAAGCATTTCTAGATACTTGGAAAATTTGGGAAGACAAATGTAGTGCCAGCGGAGGCAGCCGATGACAATCACCAATATATCCCCTACGTACTACACTACACATTACTGTTTAACCCAATCACCTAAACACTCTTAAACGTAGACACTAGCTGATTTCACATTAATGACAGAACTGGCAACATTTCTTTTGATTATCCTTTGTTTTTATATTATTATTGCTTCTTTTGTACCCCATTTATGGCACACGTACTTAGCATTAACCTAATGTATAACCACAAGAGATACCGTATAGTTTACCATAGTAATGACATTGAATGATGTATTATCTTCTACCAACATTGTTATATGTAACTGTAACTATGCGATACTATAACTGCATCAAAACTGTAATAAAGTATAAATCAGAAGGAAAAAAAAAGAGCTGCCATTAAGTAGATAAACCTCAATGAAAAATGCAGGCATTTACTTATACATTGTTTCATTGAGGTGTATATAAAACAACTTGCAGTTCTGTTGTCTGAAGCCCTTACAAGCCCTCCCATTCTAACCCCGCCCAGACTTTCTGGGGCTGTCCAATCACAGACTTCCCAATGTAGCTCAATGAGAAAGCAGGCATTCTGAACAATCACTGCCTCTTGAGTTGAGCTCCACTGAGTTAGCCAAATCAGGAAGTAACAGGGCCAGTTGTCTGATTGAAAGCCAAGTAGTGTAACCGGGTTCATTTATAAAAGTGTCAATGTCTGTTAAAATTTACACTTGTTGCAAAATATAAAAAAGGGACACACTCTTCACACATAAAGCACTCCAGCAAGCTGAAGTTATTTAGGGGTGTGGGGTGTCTATTTAACAATCAGCATTTGGGCTATTCTGTCTAAATCCAGCATGGTATAGTTGCAAACTGTGTCACTAACATTTTCCACGTGCTGATAGTATGTTACTTCCTTATACTGTATCATATTGCTGATTCTATTAGTTCTATTTAACATATTTGCAACCATTCCAGAACTCAACCCTGTTTGTATGTGCAAACAATGAATTGTCACCCGCTTGCAACTGAGATACGTATACTAGTCCTGGCCAGCCATCTATGCCCATTTATTGGCAACACAATATGTAAAGCACTGTTGTGGGATCTGAATTGTAGTTATCAAATGCAGATTTCTATTTATGTTGCCCTTAGGCTGAATGGAAATAGGAGCCTTTCTTGAACAACCCAAAAGAATATATTAAAAGAATGGCCTGATATGTAGTTAAGAGATATAAATTGGAAAGCTTTTACACTAGGTACTATATGGATAAATTCCTAAAAATAAATACAAAATAAAACCTATGTGCTTTTCTTACCACTACATTGGCCAATAAAGTGTAATCTAAACTGCCAATGTCAAGGTGAGCTTATACTTTGTTGGCCAGTGCAGTGATACCTGTTATTTAAATGTACATAAACATTTCAAATAGTCCACATATAACTTGTTTAGTTTGCTGTAGTAGTTATGGTGCCAGCATACTCCTGGTGCTCTTCCACAAGCAGTTTTTGGGTAGTTTCACACAAACTGAGGGTACCCATGGCTATCATGGCCCAGCTTACACTACATATACTGTTATTGCAAAAGTTACACTTCACTGGCTGAGCCAGAGAAATGTTGGTACCATAACCACTACAGAACGTTGTAGTGGTAATGGTGGATAGAGCGCCCTTTTAATCAATATCTGAGTTGGTGATTTTCCCAGCTCAATGTGTAGATTAAATCAGTACTACATGTAGTAGATTTTGTGTACAATTTGTAGATAACAGATTCTCTTTAGTCACTCGGTAGTACACTGCATTGAAACTCGGCGAGTTTGCATGTTTACACACATATCTCAGCAGCAGGAGACTGCTGAACATATATCTTTAAGTTGTAGTATCACATAGCAACAAA